AAGACAAAACAATGTAAAACACCCATTCTTAATACACACAAACCTCTAAATCAGTTTGCTTTAGATTGTCAAAACTCTATCTGCATCCCTTTGTTCACAACTGCTTCAAAACATAGAATCATAGAATAGTTAGGGTTGGAAAGGACCTTAAGATCATCAAGTTCCAACCCCCTGCCATGGGCAGGGACACCTCGCTCTAAACCATATTACCCAAGGCTCTGTCCAACCTGGCCTTGAACACTGCCAGGGATGAAGCATTCACAGCCTCCCTGGGCAACCCATTCCAGTGCCTCACCACCCTAACAGGAAAGAATTTCCTTCTTATATCCAATCTATATATACATCCCAGCTAGCATGAGCCAGGATACACACACACATGTTCAGGTGTTAATGCTCTAAAGCTGAGAGAAAGCAAATGCTATGTCAGCAGTCACAGACTATAAACAGCTCTCAAACTCCACTTTGTAAACCCCCAAACCACCTTTTACTGTAACACTTGCCCCAGGCAAACCCTCAAATCTTATCTATCCACTGGGGTAAAACCTCACACCTTGCAGCTACAGGTAAAATAAATGTCATACACGATGCTGAGGGAGGGCAACTGAAAGCACAACTGCAACAAACCCAAGAGTAACCCAGTTTTAACTGGGCAACATTTGATTAACCCAAGTCTATGATTCTGTTTCACTGCCTGAATCTGAAACACAAAACTACCTCGTCTGCAACAAGAACTGAACTCCAAATCTGCTCTGTCTGCCATTCATGCATGTGGGAATCTTGCTGAAGGCAGGTGCAGTCAGGAAAGGCCAGTGCCAGGATGTAACTCAATCACTTTGCTCTTTTCCCCTCGCTTTCACACATTTCCATCTCCTTCACAGCACAGTGTGTCCCAAACGTGGGGCTCGTCCTCCCAGGAGGGACAGCAGGAAGCAACAAGGCAGCAGCTGCAGCACACACTCAGGGACCTGACCCTCCCAAAGCACTGTGAGGAAGATGAGCAGGGCACAGCTCCTACACCCTGACAAAAGGTGATACAAGCTATGAGGAAGATGAGCAGGGCTCACTCAGCTCCTACACCCTGACAAAGGGTGATACAAGCTATGAGGAACACGAGCAGGGCTCAGCTCCTACACCCTGACAAAGGGTGATACAAGCTATGAGGAAGATGAGCAGGGCACAGCTCCTACACCCTGACAAAGGGTGATACAAGCTATGAGGAACATGAGCAGGGCTCAGCTCCTACACCCTGACAAAGGGTGTAACAAGCTACGAGGAAGATGAGCAGGGCTCAGCTCCTACACCCTGACAAAGGGTGATAGAAGCTATGAGGAAGATGAGCAGGGTACAGCTCCTACACCCTGACAAAGGGTGATACAAGCTATGAGGAACATGAGCAGGGCACAGCTCCTACACCCTGACAAAGGGTGATACAAGCTATGAGGAACATGAGCAGGGCACAGCTCCTACACCCTGACAAAGGGGGATACAAGCTATGAGGAACATGAGCAGGGCTCAGCTCCTACACCCTGACAAAGGGTGATACAAGCTATCTGGAAAAGCCTACAGGAAAAGCGGTTGGGAAGCACAAACTCCAAGAGTTTGTCTTCTCTGGAAAACTGTGGCTAAGTTAGACCTAAAGAGAACAACTTCATTAGGGACTGTAGTGATAGGACAAGGGGTGATGGGTTAAAACTGAAACAGGGGATGTTTAGATTGGATATAAGGAGGAAATTCTTTCCTGTGAGGGTGCTGAGGCACTGGAATGGGTTGCCCAGGGAGGCTGTGAATGCTTCATCCTTGGCAGTGTTCAAGACCAGGTTGGATGAGGCCTTGGGTAATATGGTTTAGAGCGAGGTGTCCCTGCCCACGGCAGGGGGGTTGGAACTTGATGATCTTAAGGTCCTTTCCAACCCTAACTATTCTATGATTCTATGAACTCCTCAGTTTACTTCACTGTACGGCTACTTGAACCTGATGCAAGTCTGTGCTGTGGCTGAAGGGAGGCACTCCCCTGTCACCTTTCAGCTCAGGCCGTGCTTCTTAGGATTGCACAAGCATTCCTGCAGCCATGTGCACAAAGGAACCAGACTACTGAGAACCTGCCTAACAAAAACGTGCAAGCAAACATATTTCAGCTGTGTTCCCTCCAAGGAAGGGCTCCCTAAACCTGGGTGCTGGTGCAAGGGAGAGGATACAGGTAACCATGAGCTTAACCAGTGACCACCCAGCTTAAAGCAATCAGCAGCAGTAGGCTGTTCCTACTGAGAGCTGCAGGGCAGGGAGCCCACGTGTGGAGTGCAGCAGCCAGGCTGGCACTAACGCTTTGGAAAGCACCTCCTGGTGCTGGGAAAGCCATGTTTTGGAGGATGCTTCTGGAAAACTCAGCTCCCAGTTTGGGCAGGAGATAGTTGTCCTGTACTAGAAAAGACCAGCAACGAGACACATGATAACAGAAGCTGCTGGAGGTTAATGAGTGCGACTGCAGAGCTGTGAAGCCTTGGACACAAGCGTGATATCCTGTGTTGGTGGATGTATCAATGCCATATAAACATTAGAGTGAAGTAGGAAGCTGCAGAAATGTAGGGCCAGGCCAAGGGGAATGGCTTGAACCTGCCCGAGGGGAGACTGAGCTGAGCTCTTAGGCAGAAGCTCTTCCCTGTGAGGGTGCTGAGGCGCTGGCACAGGGTGCCCAGAGAAGCTGTGGCTGCCCCATCCCTGGCAGTGCTCAAGGCCAGGTTGGACACAGGGGCTTGGAGCAAGCTGCTCCAGTGGAAGGGGTCCCTGCCCGTGGCAGGGGTTGGAGCTGGAGGAGCTTTGAGGTCCCTTCAACCCAAACCAGGCTGGGGTTCTGAGATAGGATATGACCAAAAAAAACCCTGACAAAACCAGTAAGTTTTGACAATGACACGACCATGAAGCATTCAGATGCATCACTCTCACACACAGGCGACTTCACATTAGTTTGCAACAGGTCCTAAAGCTCGTTTTGGCTTGTGTTTTACCAGGAAGTTGGTGAAAAGCAGACACTGAGATGAGCACGCACCAAAACAACAGAAACGGCAACAGCCGTCCCCACTGCTCCCTGCTCACGGCAACTTTCACCAAGCACTTCCATAAAACCTCATTTCTGACCCAGAACAGCACAAAGAGACCCGGGAAGAGCTCGCACTTCAACGGACCGCTTGAAGAGTGGGGAAAAAAGAAGAAGAAACCCGGTTCCCTGCTCCAATCCCCATTCCTTGCTCAGAACCCCATTCCCTGCTCCCCGACCCCGCTCCCCAGCCACCGAACCGCTCTGGAACGCGAGGAAGCGCTAACGTCCCGGCACCGGCCGCTTCCACCGACACTAAAGGCACCCACAGAGAAACAAACAAAACCCACCAAGAAACCGACCCCTCCTGGAAAGGCCTCGGGAGCGCCCGGGGGAGCCGGGCTGGGGCTGGATGCGGCTCGGCCCTAAACTGAGGGCAGCGCTGCCCGAACCGGCCCGAGCCCCCCCAGCCAGAGCCCTGCCTCACCTTCTCCTCCACGCAGTTGACGATGATGGAGGGGTACTTGCGGCTGAGCCAGCGGAAGAACGCCGGCACCCCCATGGCGGCCGGGACCCGGCGCGGCCCTCGGCAACGGCGTGCAACGCTTCCGGGGGCGCAGGGCGGCGCGGGGCACCACGGGAGCGAGCGGCAGCGGCGCCGCCGCCATTTTAGAGGCGGGGCTGGGGGTGTCATAGCGGCGGGGCGGGTTGGGTTAGCCCTGCCTGAGGGGTCCAGGCGGGGGCTGCTGGGAGCAGAGCTGACAGGCAGGAGGGCAGAGCCCGGGGGCAGGCGGGTGCACAAGGCCTGCGCTCGGATGAGGTTCTGTGTGGAACCGGACAACCTTTCCCTTCACGTGTAATCAAATACCCGCACAGGCTTTGCGTTGTGGGGGGGATTGGGGCCCAAAGGTGGCTGAAGGGACTGCGGGCACGGCAGCTCTGTCAGAGCGCTCTGGGCCGCTGTTAGGGCGCGGGGCTCGGGCAGGGGAGGCTCGGGGGGAGGCCGCTTCCCCTCGGGGGCTGACGGCAGCGGGGAAGCGCAGCAGGAGCTGAGGGGACGTTGCCAGCAGCGGCTCGAGCGATTTGTGACAGTGACAAGAAGCAACACGAAGAGCCCCGTGCCACCGCTTTGCCCGTTGCATAGGCAAATACCATTAAGGACGTTGGCAGTTCGGCGACGTTGAAATGGAATTAAACCTTCCTGTATTAAAGGGGATTAAAAGGAGGGGATGGTGCGCACCGCCGGGTCCTGCCGCGGCTCCGTGAGGAGGGCAGGGACGGGGGCGAGGCCACGGGGAAGCAGCCTGGGAGCCATTGACAAAACAGCCTCAGCGGGGCTGATGGAGTCACTGCAGGGCGCGGGGGGGAGAGGGGCCTTGGTACCTGGCTAATGCGCTATCGACCAAGTTAACCCAGTAGCGTAGCGCTCATTATTCTTCGCCTCACTTAGCTGTTGTTAAGCCGTTTTCTGTTGTCACTCCTCTTAATAAAATCTGTGACTTGAATAAATTTCCCCAGCAACTTTGTATTGGCACCACATCTGCGGTATCAGCTGAAGATTGGCCTTTATCTGTTCCTTACAAAACGCACCCTGATTGAAGTTCCCTATTGTAATGCTTCTCCTCCTGGAGTTCCTCGTGGAGTAAGGCAGATTAGCATTAACATTTTGTTTGTATTGATGGGCAATCAGTTGTTCTTCTGATAATGCTCAAGAAAACAGAAGACAGAGGCGCTGGCAAACGCAAAGGAAATGTGATCATCTTATCTCATAATTATTTGGGTAAACAAGCGCTGAAAAATGAAGCCTGCAACAAACACCTCGCAAAGTCAATCAGTGTTGTGTTAAAAACCCCAAACCAACAACAAAACAGGAGCCGAACCCTTGCAGATGTCCTGAAGCAAACTTTGCTGTCAGCAGGTGCAGGGGGGCAGGAGCCGCAGCTCTGTTTCACCACTGCTGGATGTGACTCACGAGGTAAGGGACGTGGCACCGAGTGCCTGCACGCAGCGGGGACACGGGGAGGCTTTTCCTGGCAGGATTTCCCGCAGGTGAGTGGCGTGCTGATGTCAATCTATGGAGGCTCTATTGATTACAGCCCCCCCCGTCCCGTCCATCACCATCATCTGTCATCATCTGCAGGCTGCCGGGCTGACAGCTGTGAGGGAAGTTGACTGGCAGAGTGTTTTGCATCTAATGAGGCTGTGCACAATGCGAGTATCATGAAGAATGCTCTGGAGGAACTCGGCTATCGCCTGAACACCAGCACAGAGATAGGGCCTTCAGAGAAGCTCCCAGAGCCATCTGTCAGCTGTCAGGAGCTGCATGCCTCTGCCTGAGCTGGACTGAGGGAACGGAAAGCACCAGACTGGTGATGGGTGCCTGGTATCACGCACGGAGATACAAAGCGGGCTGACATCCAGAACCCGGCATCACTCAGGAAGGGCTTAAAAGTACAAAGCGTGTGGATTTGATGCAGTGTTACCGACTGGCGTGGGCTGCCGAGACTCCTTCCAGATGAACCTTGGCCTGGCATTCACTGCAAAGTCACGTAGAGCAGTCTGTCTGTGGCACTGGGCACTGGTGAGCTTGCGTTCAGCAGATGGCTGGGGCCAGCAGGAACGAATTACTGCAGCTTAGGGGTGATCTGGAGAACACAGCAAGGAGCCATGACCCAGGCACCAGCCCGCGGGTGGGTTCAGACTCTGGTTCTGGGACAGGGCTCCTGGGTGATGCTGAGCCCACAGTACATGAGGAAAAACAAGCCTCCAGCACCCGGCTAGGAGAAGCCTCTCAACCTACCTGGTAGCCCACTAGGAGCAGCAGCATGACAAGGGGCTAGCCCTTCTCCTGGTCCTGTTGCCATCTCATGATGGAATTTGTTCTCAAGTGTGACAATTTGCAGGACAGTCCTGTGGTTCCCCTCCTCATGGTAACCAAGCGCTGACTGAGGCTGGCCATCACAATAGAATCATAGAATAGTTCGGGTTGGAAAGGACCTTAAGATCATCAAGTTCCAAGCCCCCTGCCATGGGCAGGGACACCTCACACTAAACCATGGCACCCAAGGCTCTGTCCAACCTGGCCTTGAACACTGCCAGGGATGGAGCATTCACAGCTTCCCTGGGCAACCCATTCCAGTGCCTCAGCACCCTCACAGGAAAGAATCTCCTCCTTAGATCCAATCTCAACTTCCCCTGTTTAAGTTTGAACCCATCACCCCTTGTCCTGTCACTACAGTCCCTAATGAAGAGTCCCTCCCCAGCATCCCTATAGGCCCCCTTCAGACACTGGAAGCTGCTCTGAGGTCTCCACGCAGCTTCTCTTCTCCAGGCTGAACAGCCCCGACTTTCTCAGCCGATCTTCATATGTTGGGAGCTGTGCCATCCGCTTGGCACATGGGAATTGTTGCTTTGGGAGGCAGGAGACCTCCCGTGGTCCCGATGGGCTGCCTTCTCTCCTCCTCCTCTGCATGCACCTCCCATCCCTTAACCAATGTGCCCATCACACGGGGCAGTGGTCCCACAGGCCATGGGGAGCTGGGGCAGCAACTGGGAAAGGCAGAGGGATCTGTGCTGGTGTTCTGGCTGCGGCCTTAGCAGCAGCCAGGGAAGCATCACAGGAGCCTTAATCCAGAATAGCCTGTGGTTGAACAGGCACAGAAACCCCGGCGCAGTGGGGGAGGACATGAAAGGCTCCGGTGCAGTCCATCTGTCCCACATGAGATCAGCCCTGTCCTGTGCTCACCCAGTTCCATCCCTCGGGCAGCTCCTTTTCCAGCTGTTGGAACAGTCGACACTGCACCAGTGCCTGAGAGCCAGGGGGCCCAGCGAGCCCGCAGCCAGCCGTGCTCAGCCTGTTCACTTTCCAGCCTTCCCCGAGCCTTTGTTTCACGTTCTGGAGCCACACACTCTTCCTATTAAACTGAGTATTGTTACCATTTAAGAATTGCTTTTGATGGCCGGGGTGCAGAGGTTGGTGCCTGTGTGCAGAGATGCAGCGCTGCTGTAATTGGGGTCCTGCTTTGTGCTTTTGAACTTCCCATAATTATGAACAGATTTCTTTTTTTTTTTTTTAATATGTCCTCTGGTTTCTCCCTTCGAAAGAAAATCTCATGTTTAATGAACTTAATTTTAGATAAAAGGAATTAAAGGAGGAAAATTAAAAATGCATGAAGCTCCCAGAGCCATCCCTTTCCTGTGATGTCCATGCAGCAGCGCCAGCATGGATTGTACAAAGCAAGCGCAAGCAGAAAAGCACTGGGGCTCACCACATGTAAATGCTGCCCTTCCAAAATGTGCTGAATTCAAAATGTACATTTTATGCTTTTATTCTTCTTGATCTGTTGCAGAAGATAAAGATCAAACATGCCAGCCCGCCCTGCGCAGCATATGTATGCATACCCAGAATGCTTGCTGGCCTTCTGCAAACCACATCTAGCTCTGCAGGCAAAACTGTACAGTTCACACAGGCATTGGAAGAGGACGGTCTCATGTTCATGTGCAACAAGATCAGTGGCCAGGGCAGATGAAGAAGCACTGGCATGGAACAAGACTCAACTTGGTCATTAAATAACCACTGAATTCCATGGGACCCGGCTTCCTGCTTGAGGGGAGGTTTATAGAGCCCCAGCCCGCTCAGGTGCTCCTGCTCACCCTCAGACAAGCACTGTGCTGGTGTCTCACAGCAGGGGGACATCTCTGACATCCTCATTTCTTCCCCCAAACCACCAGAGCAGAGAAAGGCTCAGTCTCACCGGGCAGGAGTGCTGTGAGGTCAGGGGAACACTCAGCACTAAAGAGAACACATACAGAGGAGTCCAGGTACAGAACCAAGGAATCTTTATTCTGTACTTACACTTTCTGTGAGTGTGCAGTGAGGAGCTGCCCATCAGACAGCAGCACGCTCCATTCGTACAAGATGATGCTGCTGCTTTCTTCCCCACAGTGAGCAGGGGGATCTTAATCATAGAAGTCATCAAACTCATCTGCCTCTGTGCTGTGGGCTTGGGGGCGCAGAGCAGCCTCGAGCTCGGAGCTGCTCTCGTCAGATTCGCCCCAGAACGCTGAGGGTGAGGAGAAAAAAACCCCAAGTTATCAAATCTTTTCCTGTTCCTGTCATTTGTATCACAGACACGACCGTTTTGCAGCTCTCCCGAGGCAGCTGCAGAGCACAGCTTAGAGAAGGGACGTTCGGAAGTGCACGAGATTGAGGTGGTTTCTGGTACAGCCTGATGTGGGTGCATCGTGTCGCCAGAAGGAGCTGCTGTGGCCAGACAGCGGCTCATTCAGAGGCCCCACTTCATTGTCCCTCAAGGTACCTTGAGAGAACATTTCCACTCCAAGCAATTTACTTGCCCAGCTGCTGCCTCAATTACAGCTTTGTCCATTATGTGCCACTTTCTGCCCTACTTGACCCCACAGTGAGGTCACAGTTGGACCATGACATCAGAGTTGGCATCAAAATGGCAATGATGTCACGAGTGACATCCCCACTTTGGGACAGGATCAAATACAGGCGAGATCTGGGTTCAGGGAAAGCCTGGCTCCAACAAACAGCTCTGGGAATTAGCAAACAACTTCACTGAAATGCAACACAATCACATTGAAACGTGGCATGTCCGAGAGCTTCCTCGAGATGTGAATTCATTTGATCTGTGGATAAAAATCAAGTGAAAAGCACGTGGGGAAGCACAAGCCAAGGCCACACTGGCTCACAGCACTGTGCTGTCTGCCTGCTCCCAACTGCTTCTGTGGGGCTGCTGTTTGTGCAAGGTCAGTGTGATAGACACGATGCCCCACATGTGGCACAGGGCAGCAGGAGGGGGGGAGGCTGTCACACCTCACACACACGTGTCAGCTATGTTTGACTGAGGCGCTGTTAATGCCTTCAGTGCTTCTGATGGCACCGGCTCTATAAACACCTTATCTCCAAGTGCAGCAGCTGCATCTTTCATCCTGTATCCCCGGCCCCCCAGCCAGCAGGTCTGTGCTCCTCCAGGAACATCAGAGCTGTGCCCTGGGCTCACTCCTGTGCTGAGCACTGGGGAAGGGGCTCAATGTGCTGAAAGGCTGCAACAACGCGAAACTCCCCAGCTGAGAAGGTCTGGGGGTGAGAGAGGTTTTCAAATGGCACCAAAGCCCCATCACATACAGCACCCTTAAAGCAGCTCAGACACCACAGCTCTAAGTCCCTGTTCTGTACCAGTCAGGACTGCATAGTGCTGGAGGCTGCCAGCACCAGCTTCACTGCCAGGGCTCCACCAGAGGTGACTTCAGCCACCAGGGCTCCTTACGGTGGTTAAAGAGAAAACTGAAATGCAGTGGAATGAAAACACATGGGATCCAGCCACCAATTTAACAGAAAGACCACTTGTGTGTGGATGCAGGCTCCTTTGTGCACCCACCTGCTGCAGCCCTGCAGCCACTCACACTGCTGCCCACCCCTTCTGCAAGCCCTGGTGCCAAAGGCAAGAGCAATAAAACATCAGGTTTTCCCTTCCCAGTTTTGCTTCTACCTCCTTGCTGTTCACTACTGTTTAAACCCTGTAGCAAAGGTCTTAACTGCTTCCAGACTATATGCAGTACGAAACACGTCCTCTCTGGTCCAGGATTTGTCACTGTCAACTATTTCCTGACTCCTGCATTGAAACAGGGCAATTCCACACTGTCCCACCTCCTTACACCCATGTTTTATACAGACCCACAGCGCCGTTCTTGGGAGGTTTACAATGTCAAATACACATAGAAAGACCTGTCGATTTTAAGTCGTGTAACATCTGTGTCTTACCTTTGGATTTTATAGTAGCTACCATTCCCTTCCTGGTTTCAGCTCTGTAAAAGAGAAAGAGATTTCAAATCATCAGCACAAGGTCACAATGGGAAAAAAATATAAGTTACTATGAAAAACCCAAACAACTGTAAAATGGTTTAAAAAGTACCAGTGACCACTTTTTAATAGCTATTTTAACAAAGGTTTCTTCACCTCTCTGTCTTTTAAAAGGTGGAGAAATTAACATGCAGCAGAGCCCCTGGTCCAGATGTTCAGGCAGCGTGAACTGGAGTCATCCCCTGGTCCTGGTGCGGGTTTACACCAGCAGCGAGTTAAGGCTCCAAAGGCTCAGAGCCCTGTCGATCTGTTGCAGCCTTTCAGATCATGCAAAGTAAGTAAAGAAACCCCCCAAACAAAAATAAAAGCACCCCCCACTGATGCTCACTGAACTTCCTTATTCCCTTCCTGGCAGCGTGCTCCTCCAGCCCAGCGCCTGCGTTCCCATAGCATCATCCCGTCCCTATGTAAATGTGCGCTCTCCCCGCTGCCTTTGATCTACCTTGATGTATATGCAGTTGCGATTCTGTTCTGTTAAATGCCTGCTCTTGTGTCTAGAGCATCACAGGCCCTTTTGAATCCCTCAAACAAGCTGGAATCATTTTGATCCTTTGTGTGTGGCGTGCGTATTGTGTTGGTGCTGTGAAATAATCACACAGGGCAATGATGGAGGAGAATTAACTGTTACATTAACAATCCTGCAAGCAGCTCAGAAATAAAGCTTCAGCTGATTTTGATAAAGGGAGATCAAATGGGCGATATTTGTGACATTGCAGCCCCAACTAGTGAAATATAAGCAAGTGTCAAGCTGCAGTCTGAAGCCGCTGCCACAGTCAAACCAGGACTCAATCAGCTGTCAGAAAAACCTAATGCAATTTGCTGCATTTCAGTTAAAGAAATGGCAATGATACAGAATGGCTTCAAGTGGGGACTTCAGATATTCTAGCTACTGTTGTGGAGGCATTTGAGAAGGAGATATGGAAAAGAAAGCAGAGATGATTCCCTGCTTGTCTTGTACCACTGCATTCACAAGGATTTGGGACTGCAGCTGGAAAGCTAAACTGAAAATGGGGGGGAGTTTCATTACATTACAGCTCCCTGTGTTACACAAACTTGGCCTTTTAAATCAAAGGGGGCTCATACTCCTTTCTACAAGCTGTGAATGCAGACACACAAAGCTTCCTCTTTGCAGATACACAACAATTCACAGAAAGAGACATTAAACATAGCCAAGCTTCAACCAAGGTACCAAAGTGAGCCTTAGGAACTAGCAACAAGTATCAGCACTAGTAGAATAGTGACATAACTAATTATTAACTTGTTATTCAAGTAAAAAACATTATCCTGTTTACCTGAGGTTCTGTTAGCACACCATCCAAACTCCCCTCTGTTCCATTCCCAGTCAAACCCTGCACTGTGTTACACTTCAACTTCTTCAAACACACTTCCTCAATGGTATTTCCAGCACATATTTTAAGTCAGAGCCTTTGGGCCGAGTCCTGCAGTACGCTGAACACCCTGAACTCCTGCTCACTTTGGTGGTTTCGTGACCCTCAGCATTTCCCAGGAGATGCTCCGTGCATCCCAGGCTAAGCCCATAAGAATGTGCTCAAGAGGCTGCAGCTTTCCCCTGGGTGCACAGTGAGAAACCCCTTGTGTTGCTGAGCTCCCAATGGAGAGGTGGCTCCTGTGGCAGACTGCACATGAACATTTCATCTTTGGGTAGCTCGGTAACACAGGATCCAGCAGCAACGCTCCCACTGCTGCATCTCCCCTGGCTCGAGGGGAAGCGTGGCAGAGCTCCTGTTCAATCACACCAGGGGTCCCCAAAGGCGATTTCTTTGCTCCACTTCTCTCTGGTTCAAACCCAGATTAAACACAAGAGGGTTGGTCATTTCAGCCCAGAGCCTCTGCGGTGCCCAGGACATCACTCATGGCATGGAACCACCAGTGGAGGACTGCCTGTGTCCTAGGCAGCTTGGTCCTTCCACACACAGCTCATAGCACTGTGAGGTGCTCCAGGTCTGGCGGAGAAGTTGCAATGGACAAGAGCCACTGTGGCTGTAGGAAAATCTGGAAACCTTTCCTATTCCACCCCAGCTTCCCATAAAGAGAAGGGTCAATGCTGAGAGGAGAGGAAGGAAGAGGGATGTTTGTATTCTACCCAAACCCATCCACTCAGTGGGATTCATCCTCCTGGGGCTAATCTACTGGGTGCAGAATGGGGTTCACCCCCGGAACAGCACAGAGCTGTAGTGCTGCACCAGGAGCTGAGTGTCGGTGTGACACAGCAGCCCATAAAGAGAGATGGGAACATGGTGTCAGCAAAGGCCTAGAACAAGGCTGTCAGCACAGAGAAACACCCAGGGAGGGATGGAAAATGGAACTGGGACATGAGAAATGCCAGACTGGAAATCCCAGCTCTGCCACGCCAAGCCTGGAGAATGCTGCAAGAGAGCTTTGTAACAGGGAATACATTCTTGGACTACATCTGAAGTGTTAGTTAAGGCTGGTAAGATGCAAGGAGACCTCTACCTTGCAAAGCATTTGTATTCAGTGATCGGCAAACTCAATCATGGAGTTATCATCTGGGATCCTGAGCACACAATAACCACACAGACCTCCACGGAGAAATTTAGGAGTATAAATGAAGTAAGGCCAGTTGCACTGCCTCCACTAATCCCCCCTTCTGACCCTTCCATATCCATTTACACATTCGCTTCTTCCCTAAAATAATTCCAAACTGAATCCAGGCTCTAACAAAGAAAAAACCCCAAACCAGTTTAACTTCAAAGGGCCTTTTAATCTCTCCTTTACTCTGATGAAACAGGCTTTTTGTATTGAAGATGCTGCTACAATAAGAAATGAAAAAGCTCCGAGGAAATATTTCTCCCTCTGTAAAGAAAATTAATATTAAGAGGAAGAAGCCAGACCAACAATAGGCAAGTTAATAGAGGTGCCTCGCTGGCAACAGCAGAAATGCTTCCTCTAGCTGAGTACCTTTTTGCTAAAGCACCTGTTGAACCTCACGTTTTGGTGTCAAGTGAAAAAAAGCCACCTCAATGCCAAGGAGAAAAAGACAAGAAATAAAAGACACAAAGAAAACCACGCAAACACCAAGGGGAAAACCCAACCAAGCAAACCCCAACCAAGCCAACCCAACACAGCCTGCACCCAGGGAAAAACCACCACCAAAACACCAGAAACCCAACCAAACACAAAGCTCAGCTGCTGCGGGGGCACCAGTGCTCCTGTTGGGGCTGATGCCTTCATCCTGCACTCACATACCTGAGATGCAAACCAAACACCCAGGGGGGTGTTTATCAGCCCTCGGTGAGGTAAGAGATGAAGCTTCCTCCCAGCAGCACGGGAGGGTGAGGAGCTGCAGATCCAGCTCCAAAAAGCATTTCCTGGTCTGCTCAGCAGCAGTGCCTCCGATGCAACACTGACCGGGGTGCTCACACACCATCCTCCAGCTCCAGCAGAAGCCCAACCGCTCTGCCATTTCCTGCTCATCATTTACTAGAAGTTGAGCATCACAGAAGCGTTCCCCACACTGGAAATTCACTATAAACTAAGACAATCCACTACTCACACCAGAATTGAAGTAGCAATACTGAGGTTAAGTAATTACACTGCAAATAAGATGACTTTTAGGCTACAAAGATCTGTATTGAGCTACATGTAAGACCATTCTCTGTTCAGATATGCCATGCTGAGGAAAAGACCAACCCATTCTCACCTGACACAAAGACTGAATCACAGCACCAGGATGAAACTGTTGGAAGTACACAGGGCATCACCACGGACATAAACACTGTTGTCTGTAAAACAGGGCCAGTGTATTTACATGGATAACCATTCCCGTAAACCATTCCCCACCATATTCATGGAGCATCACCACTTCCACCCTGCTGTTCCTGCAACAGCTGGATGTTAAGATTTAGGTAACAAAGCTTAAGGAAACAGCTGTACCAGCAGGAAAAACCTGCTTGAATTTACAGCCGCTTCTCGCAGAAGTGATTCGGCAGCTGGAAGCACAACGGCAGGATAACACCACGGGATGGGGCTGGTCTGGGGGTGCAGCCTGGGAACACCCCACGCCACCTCCCCGGGGTTCCTGGTAACGCTTCTGACCACTCCCAGCTCCAGACCTTGGGAATCTCTCGCCAAAGCAGCCAGGCAGGGCCAGCGCCGGCTCGGAGGGGGGATGCGCAGAGCCCGAGTGCCCCCCGATGGCCACAGCCGCCTCGGCACAGGGAGCAGCGGCGGCGGCCCGTGTTCAGCATCGGCCCCGAGAGGCATTAAGAGGGTGAATTATTATCTGCCAACTTTTATTTGCATGTCATTACGTCTGTGTTTGGTGACGGCGGCTTTCGGCTCCGAAGGCGCCTTCAGAGACCAGCCCGGATTACTGCCACAGGGCACATTAATCAAAGGGGAAAAATACTTCACACCGCGGTTGTGCCCTGACGTGAGCTCCGTGGGTCCCGCCTCATAACGCACCTTTAATCTCCAGCTTATTCCGAAAGGAGACGGCGCAAACAAGGCAAAGCAACACAAACTGCTCCCATCAAAACCCAGAAAACCAGTGACCTCCTCTGGCTGCTCCGGCCACGGGATGCCACACACAGCGCCTGCCGCCCAGACTGGCCGCCTGACTTCTGCTACCCTTTCCCCCAAGGAACTGCATAATTTATCACGCTCTTTGGTGGCGCAGAACACAAACTCTGCAAACCAAAGCGGCACCTTTGTGCGTGGAAATATTCCCTTCAGCATGTAAATGAAGGCAGGAAAAAGTAGTTTTGTCGCTAACCGTGGGGCAGGACAGTATTTGCGGGAGAAGAGGAAGCTCTGGCATGCACCTCCGAACAAAAGGGAACAAGTGGTCTTTACTCGGAGAGCAGCTTCCTATTAAGACTCACTCCTTCGTACATTATGCCTTTCATCCCCACTCAACCACAAAATGATTTTGCTGTAGGAAATACAATGGCAGAAAAAGATTTACATTGAAAGAATCTTTAATAATAAACTGTTGCAGATCTGCCTACTTCCCCGTGATTTATAATACAATAAACATCGGATTCTATTAAGTCTCATGCACTGAAGACACGCACTGAAAAACCGAATATGAAAGCCCTCAATTCTTCCCTTCTCCAGCCCCATAATAGTGAAATGAGCATGTATAAATGTGCTAAGAGTATCTCTTTGCATCTTTTATAGCTTGTGTGTATCAATCTGTAAAGCTTATTAAGAAAGTCATTGCTATGCAAAGCAGCACCCAATCTCTTTCTCTTGCTTTTCAACAGAGCGCAGTGTTTAGCCAATAGGACCGGTCCCCGGCCCCTCATTCGGCATTCATAACATGCAACATTTGCACAATGTATCTCTCAAAGGCTGCTGAATAGAAAGCCTTAATACTCATGTAAACAACTGCAAACCAATTACTTAATGAATCAGGCCCACACATAATGAGGTGCCAGACAAAGAGCTATAAATGCATTTTTGCGCCCGAGCCTCTGCTTTAAAGTAAAATCCCTCAGCTGTAGTTTGGGCTTAACTGGCACATCATAATTATTGTCTGGGGGACATCAGAGGAAGCCATTTCTCCTCGCTGGGTCCGGCGGGGTCTCCCCCGGGGTCACTCATCAGCTCAGTGACAAAACGGAGCAAAGAGGAGTTCCTGGCAGCTCCGCGGCGGTGCTGCGCGGCGACGGCCACTCTCAAGTAGTGGGTTTCGAGACCACTTGTCACAGCAATAAAGCCCAGAAGTGACTGCACTAAGTGGAGCGCTTAAACGCGAGCGCCGCAGAAACCTCCCGGTGCGGCAGGCGGCCACCGGCCTGGCCCTCCTCATCCCCACCACGTTCACCGCTTCCCTCCCCGCAGAGTGGGTGCCAGGATTCCCAAAGGAAGGGCTGCAGCTGAACGTCCCCTCTGGAAGGCTGCAGTGTTGGTGATTCATTTGGAAAAGCCAACTTTGAGAGATTTATTCCCTTAAAGCAGCATCGTCGCGTATCAGCGCACGAGGAGTGCTGCTCCTCACCCTGACCGGTGTGAAGTGATAGGGAGAAATGTTTTATAACCTATCACAAGTAAGAATCTGAAACAGGAAAAACATTTACTCCATCTGAACAGCATCCGAGGTGCAGGAGTCACCAAGTGCATCATTACTGAGCAGTGCAGCAGCCGCAGGGACAAACTGGGAGACTTTCTCCTTTTAATACAGAAACAGCTCATTTTAAATCTGACAGATTTTATTGAGCAGAAAGCTCCTCAGGGCCTGATCCTTCTCTTCCTGCTCTCCCTCTTCAGTCATTTAGGGAATGACTAACGTTCAGCATTTAAAAACTCATCTATAGGAGCAGCCCTGCATTCACAGTTGCATCATTTGGAGCATCATGTTCAAACAAAGCTCGAGGAAACTCCAAAATGAAGGGGGAAAAAAAAAATAAAAAGGAAAAAAATAAAAAGGAAAAAGAAAAAAAGGAAACAGACAGAGTTTGGGCACAGGGCTGTAAGAAGGGATCCCACACAAGAGCAGGAATGCCATTCATCAACACCATGTTCCAGCTTGCGTTTACTGCGCTTGGGGAGTGACAGAGATCCTGTGATTTTCACACAACTGCACCCCACCACTTAACAAAACTGAACTGACAATGTTGATGCCAGCATTAAAAACAAGCCACCCAAAGGGATGTACAAACAGGAGCTCAAATTTCATCTCAAAGCTTTAAAGGCTCTTCCCCAGTGCTGGTAGTGGCAGTTTCAGACCAGGAGCCACGCAGCAGCAGCACTCGTCGTGCTGTTCTAACACAAGCAGATAAGCATCTAAAGCCCAGCCAGTATTTCACGAGGTCTATCCCATTTTCTGCTGCTTCTTGACCACTAATTTGATTGCTGCTGTTTGATTCCTGTTACACGCCAATGAAGAACATAAGGAACATGCAACAGAACTGCCCAGAGACCCAAGGGAACGGCTGCATTTTAACACACACAGACACGCAAACCAGCTTCCAACAAAAAACAAGGCAGAGAAAAAGAACAAACTGTGCCCTTCAGGTACATGCGAGGCCATTAATTAAACACACTCTGTTTGAAAGCAAGAAAATAATACAACTAAGCCAGCATTAAATATAACACCCCCAAACCCACGGGAAGCGTTATCCAGTTACAGCGAGTTCACCTCTCGGATCCACAGAGGAGAAACCCACCACTGAGGACTTTCTGTTCTCTGTCTGCCCCTCTCCTGACAACTCCCATTGTCTGGCCCCTGAGCAGCCCTGCTGAAAGCAGCTGGACTGGCTCGTTCGTGGTTCACTGAGATGTCAATTGAGTCGGAGAATGGGAAAACAACAGCTGCAAAACAAGCCTTGGCTTTGGCACAAATATTTGCTGAGGTGCACCCAAGTTGAAGATGTGTCAGTAAATAAACATAAATACAACCTTAACCCGGGCTCAAGTGAAGGAATCGAGTAACCAGGGCTTCAGCCCTGCGCTGTCTGCGTTTCTCATTGTGAGCAGCGTTTAAATGCGACAGGATTTCACAACTTTACCTTGACAAGGGAGGACTTGGGCTCGACGAGGGACTCATTTCCGACTGCGTTTCCTGGCTCTCTCTTGCTTTGGAACCGTTATCAGCAACGTCCCACCCTGTTGGGTAAAAACACCAAACCTGAGTGCTCAGCTAAGGCTGGCTGGGCCCTAGGGCAGCCTGCAGCCACCGCAGCAGCACTCCCGCTTCCCAGCGGATCCAGGGAATGGTTTGATGACAAAATCCAGTACCTGCCTCAAGGCTGTTTGCTCTTCAGTGGAAATGAGTTAAACCCACAGGAAGCAAGACCCCCTCATTAGTGATTAATTCCCTGATGATGATTCCTTGTGAACAGTGATGTTTTTACAGGTTTTACCTCATTTTGGAAGAAAAAGCAACCACAGATTCTCTCCAGAGCTGAATGGCAACTTTCTGCAAAACTGAAGGGAGTTCTGGGCTCTTTTTACTCTTTTCTTTTTAATCCCCGAGTTCTCATCACTTCAGTTAACCAGGAGGCGAGGCCCTTTTCATTCTCCTTCCCCATAAACACAGACTATTTGGGATAGTTACAGTTCTTGGCTGTAATTGGATTTTGCAATGTAGATTGACTAGAGCAGTATTTGCAACCATTCTCTTGAATTAGAGCTGTGTTTGGGAGACACAAATCTTGGGGGTTTTCTGACTTACACAGCCAAACCCCCAACTATGCCACAATCTTTTATCCACGCTTCCCTTTCTTTCCTTCCCCTCCGCTCTGTATCTCATTCTGTAGAGACTGATTTAAAAAGAAGAGGTAAATGAATTCATTCACTGGGCTCGTACAATTGCTAATCTTTGTGCTCGTTTCCAAAGGACACGATGCTCAAGCACAAATCCCGCTTTAAAAGGCTACTTTGCATGTATATATCTACAGCACTGAAATTACAAACAAGCCCCAATTGTCACCAACTTCGCAGCATTCAGTATTTCTGTGCATCTCAGACACTGCTTCTCACTGGTGAGGAGCCACTGCAGCGGATCACACCGCTCTGCGCTTGGATGCCAGCAGCACCAATCCTGCTCACACTCGGGTGCTGCCAACAGAGGGGTGCAGGAGGTGGCAGAGCTCAGGTACTGGTGCTGCACTGGCAGCAATGGGCTGCCTGGGGGACAAAGTCCGGCTGCTTCCCAGGAATGTGTGGGGAAAAAAGGAATCAAGGACAGGAGGGAAACAATGGGAAAAGGGGGGGAAGGGAACCTCCCCCGGCCTTCCCCATGATGGACACATGCAGAGGAGCAAAGACCTGTGGGGATCATGGAGGGTGTCCTGGGTGCAAGACGGAGCGAAGTGGGCTCACACTGACAGACCACTGACCGCAGGGGGATGGATATTAACACTTGTTTGTACACTGCTTTGGGAAGTGAAAAAGCCAGTTTAACCCCATCAAGCCAGAGCTCCCAGAAAGCGCTTCTCACTCCAGCACTAGTGCTTCACAGGGGTGTATTTTTCAGGGCTCCTCATGCACGGCTTCAAACTAGGAGACACAACGTGGCTGAGATGATGCGCTTGCCTCTTGCCTGGGGATGGAGCAGACTCTGTCTCAGGAGGCTTCCCGCTGCCTCAAGGAGGCCTTGCACAAAGCCCAGCTAAGAGCACCCCCCAGGTCACCGGCTCTGCAACATTCACACTCCAGTTACGTGTGTCCTGTCCTCAGCCAGGCCTCCAGCGTGTGCAGAGTTTGATCCTCGCCTGGAGGAGAAGTGAAGCAAACAGCCTCTGCACAGAGCATCAGCTCCAGCCACCCTTCCCATGGGCACAGGGACACATCCCCCTCCTTACAGCCTGTTAACGGGCTGAATGCTTTTCCTCCTTCCCAACAACAGAGCGCTGGGAAGGAGCAGAGGGTGGCCTCAGAGGGTGTTAGTGTACGAGGCTGCATCTGACCTGTGCCCCTCAAAGCCTTCCCCTTGCTCCAGTCTGGGCCTGGGAACCCCACCACAGTCAGGGACCAGCACCCAGCCTGCTGCCAATGGGATTCCCTGCAGCAGGCACAAGCTCTGGGAAGTGCTACAGTGTGTGCATGAGTAACTTCCTCCTTCCCATCCCTCGGGGCAGGGACATGGAGCCCGTCTCTGACCCAGGCAAACCCACCTCACTGCCCACTTGGCACTTCAAAGCCCACGTCTCTGCCAGCCCCACCAAAGTCTGGTGTGCAGCTGTCCTTAGGTTTTTACGTGCACACCAGCCTCCTAAGGCCATTCCCCCAAGCTGTCCATGCCTGTGCTGTCTCCCCTTCCTTCACAACATCAAACTAACACAAACTACTTGTTCTTCACCTGTAAGACCCTTCAGATCCCAGCTTTGCCCTACCTGTCAATTGTAATGCATTGCTGGGCTACGAATCCCCCCTCCTGCCTTAGTTACACCAGACTGCCTTGCCCATCAGTCCAGTTGTTCCCCTTGAGCATCTCTGCACTGCCTTCCATCCTATGCACCCTACAGAAATGGAAGATCTTTCTGGGAACTCCTAAGCCCACCAGCTCATGTCCCTGCAAAGCCTGCAGGGCTGTGGCACCCAAAGTGTACGACAGCACATAGGCAGCATGCAGCATCCACTGCTCTGTGTGCTGAGCAATAGCCTGGCTCTTACCTCCTCTTTTCCCCCTCATCCAAGTAATCCCTGTGCCTCCAACATGCCCACATCAAGGAAGAGCCTCGGTTACAGACAGGCAGCACTGACAACAAAACCAGCAGCAACAAACCAGTGTCAGAACATGCAAGTGACTGGTGCAATGTGCACGGCAATGAAGAGGAGATACAAGAAATCCTCTGCTAGGAGAGAAAACTCTTAGGCACTTTGCTCCTGATAAAGCTGCATCAAACCATAAAACCCATATGTAGAGCAGTATTTCTTTCATAAAACTGACCATTGTGCTTAAGATTAAATGCAACTCAGTTAAAAAGACCTTTCTGTTCTCTGGTGTGGGTGTTTCTGTTGTTTGTTCCACCAGAAGAGTCTAACTTGCCCCTGCTGCCGGCTGGGGCCTGAGCAAGCAGCAGAACACCACAGGCCTGGCGAGAAACATGCACCAAGTAACAAGGGGAAAAGGGGAAAAGAGGAAAGAGATGGGTTTTGAGCACATGAGCAGCGAGTAGATGAAACCCCTGATAAAGGGATTGCAGCACTACTGAACTCGCTCTGCAGGGAGCAGCGGCAATGGGAAGCAGAAGCAGAGGTGAGAGGAGGTGGCAGTGGCTCCTGATGCCATCTCCTGATGCCTCCTGGCTGTACACAGCCTCGCTAAAAGCTTCTCTCCCTGCCTGTCTGAAGCCACTGAGCTCTTGCTACACCCGGTAAAGGCAGATGCCATCTGCTCGATGTTCTCTTCCTGTGTGGGGTTTGGAAGGAGCAGCCTCACCACACCACCAGCTCCGTGTTCCAGAGGCACCCCAGAAGCAATGTGGGTGCACGGGGTGAAGCTGTCTGAACGGCCAGCCCAGACTGCACAGACCCGAGTGACCGAGCTTCATAAAACTCAGCCTTCAAACCCAAGCTGGGATGTTAACAATGGAAAGTTCTTAATCCCACTGTTGGAGCGCTGCTGCAGCAGAAGGGAGCTGGTGTGGCCCAGGTGACACTGCTGTCCTCATGCCTTCTTCCCCTCAGAACCAGCAGGGGATCTGCGATACCACTGTTCATTACAGATTCATTGAAGATACTCTGCCCTTTTCACCTCTGAATTAAACATGTGGGGCCAGAGCAGCTCTCACAAGTCTGGGCTGAACAAAACGGGTGCAGGTTTCTTCATGAGGCAACAATTCCAGGAAAACCCACTGTCACTGCACAATGAAGCACTATTATTCTGCTCTGCTGAGCAGTCAAAGTGATCTTTAACCAGAACACACTGTACCAGCACAGTGTTCTCTCCATGTGCTCTCCCTATGGCCTAGGCTGCAGCACTGATCACTTCATAGCCAAACACCCCAGCAGCTAAAGAAGTAATGCGATAGTCTGCAAACAGAGAGGTAAGGAAGCTCTTGGCCTTGTACTTGCAATGTTTGTCTTGCTGCTGCTGCTACCTCTCACAAAGGAAGAAGCCCACACTTTCAACATCAAACCCAGCATTAAAGCCCTTCACTGCACAGTCCCAGCATAGAGGAGTCACCTGCAGACACCAACAACAAATCATCTTCGTACAAGCAGTGCCTGCCTCTGCCTGCCTGGGAATGGGAAAGGGGATCCACAAGGCTGCTGGGTTTTGAAATGCAGGCTGAGAAAACACAACCACCACCATGCCCATGTGCAGCCCCTACAGCTTGTGAGCAAATCCAAACTCTTCAACCTAAGCCACAAAGTATGTAAGCAAGCTGTAGGAGAGTAGATGCTGCTCTACCATGACAGAAACAAGAGCATTCTGTATCCCACTCAAAAGCTGTAAGGAGCTATCATCCATTATTCCCAATTAAAACAATAATCAATAATCCCCATATGCAAACGGAAGCAGCTGAAGGGCAAAAGAGCTTTCACAGACTCAACCCAGCCATGTACCTGTATCTGCCTCCCTTACACAAGTGCGAGCCTGCACCAAAAGGAACTCTGCTTTCTCCATGTGCTTTTATCACCAATAAAATAGTGGCTTGGGTATTGCAGCTGCCACCAGACTTCAAAGCCAAGAGTGCCCTGAATGGAATGTTATCGGATGGAATGTAGCTGAGCCCACCAGCTATGTGGCTGTACGGTTCCCTTGGCAATAGTTACTGCAGCCTGGCAGGCCTGGGCTATAGGTCCTGTACCCAAATAGGAGAGTAACAGCAGTTCCCGCTTGGAGAACTTTATCTGAACAAGCTCCTCCACCACATTAACACCAACTACTGCACTTGCTGATCACCTACAAAGAGCTAGGTGGGATTAAAGTGGACTGTCAGCTGCATTGCTGCTGCCAGCACACAAACAGCCACCACGCGTGCCTCTGCCCTGGGCCAGAGGTAACAGTGCCAGCTCTACACTGGCTCCTGTACTCACCCATCTCCCCTGGAACAAAGCAGAACACTTGCGAACACAGAGAAGATAAAGGCAGCTGCAAACCTAACAGAAGGAAGTGTTCTTTGGAGAGCAGATGGATGGGAAAAGCCTCCAAACTAAACCCTGGCAGAGCACTGCAGCAGCCGGTGCCCAGAAGTAGCTCAAATACCAACAAGGATCTCCCCACTTCCTTTCAATGGAAAAAAGGATAAATAACAATCATTGTACTGCTATAGCAATATAGGATGCTGTTCTCTCAAGAGCAGACACCTGGGTGACCAGCACACTTGGGAAATCCCAGTGGAGCAAGCCATCCACTGAGAACACCTCTAGGATCACAGAATCCACCTGGTTGGAAAAGCCCTTTAAGCTCACCCAGTCCAACCCTTACCCCAGCACTGCCAAGGCCACCCCTAACCCATGGCACTGAGGCCTCATCTCCATGGGGTGTGAGCACTTGCAGGGCCGGTGCCTGCAGCCCTGCCCTGGGCAGCCTGTTCCAAGGCCTGAGCACCCTCTGGGGCAGGGTTAGGGACCTCTGCTCCGAGCAGCAGTTGTGAATGGGCTGGTATCAAAGTGCAGAGTTGGGTAGACCTGTGAGTGCCTTCATTAGCACACTCCAAGTGGAACCTCAGGAACCTTTTAACTTCAAGCTCAAAGCAGGACCTCTCTGGGAAGGACGGTGGGCGTGGGGAAAGCCTTGGCAGCATTACTGCCTCATTAAAGGTGACCTAAAAGGGAAAGCAGAATTGGATTTGTGCTCTTTCATGTTCCCTTATGATACAAAAAGAAGGGCTAATTTTCCTTTTACGTCTCAAGAGGGTTCTTCCTCCTTATTTCTACCTTGGAGATTTTCTACCTGGAAGGTGATATTCAAGACGTCGTGGAAGCGAAGCCTGATGAGTGGAGCAGTAACACCTTTTTTATTCAAATGCTTTACAGCTTTAACATCTATTTGAATCAAAGACATAAAGGAAGGGGAGAGAGAATCTGGTTTTGTCAAAGACTTAAACGTGCCCCTTCAATAAAGTCAGCAGTTTCCTACTCATGAAGTCACCCAACAAAAGAAGTCATCTAACAAAAAGAATAATGGATTTTATCCTCTCTTTTTAATCTCACAGTATTTGCCTACCTCAGGAACGGCAGAAAACCCAGATCATTTCTTCTCCATGCCTTCCCATGATCAAAACCAAGGCATCCAGGAAGGAAATGAGAACGAGTCCCCATCTCCTCTGTCTTCACGTAACCTGGTTTAGAATGAGGATGCTATCAATTGCCAGCTCTTCTCTGGGTGAGGCCATGCACAGGATACAATCCCATTACAGTCAGTTACCAGGACGTGGCCTTCCTCAAACCATTTACAGACTACTCAATTAAATCAACAGCTTGGTTCTTTTTTCCTGTAACATAGAAAAAGAACCCAAAACTACAGCAGCACTCACAAAGTGCCACCACAGAAGGCTGCTTGGAGGCACGTCCAGCCAGCTCTCACATGAAGCCCATCAAAACCCCAAAGCCACAGGGTTTCCAGTGCTTCAGACCAACACTTGCTGCCCTTAGAGAATGCAGCAAGTACTGAGAGAACACCCCAAATTTCTATCCCTTAACTTAGAAAAAGTTGTGCAGCCAAATGATCGTGTATGGAAGGGACATGAAATATTGCCTGATCTAAAACCACAAAGCCACATCCTCACACAAGCCCTCTGAGCCCAAAGACGATGTGCAGCGATGCTGCCTCTTTCAGGCACTGAACAATTCCAGAGCTCCAGGGCCACGGTCTGCAGCAAATAATGATGAGAAAAAGGAGACAAGCGACAGGCTGGAGGGTGAGGAGCCAGGAGAGGATGAGAGGCCCGGGGAAGATCATGGGCTGATGATGAATCACAGCTGAAAGGGGCAACTTTCCTTTCAAGTGAGCTGGGAAAAGCGTTATTCTCAGAGCCAGTGGGACCGCAGCTACAGAACTGCTGCACCAACACAGGAGATAAAGCAGCTCAGAGAGAGCTGTTTTAAACTGGAGTTACTGGTTTTGGTGAAAACTGCCATAGAGAACTCTAACAAACTGGTACAGAAACCGCACCTATAACCAGTACTGGTCAGCTGTAGCATTCAGCGTGAGGAGAAGCAAACCAAAAGCACTGGGAGCTCCAGAGATCCAAACTCTTGAGTTCCCCTGAAAAAATCATAGTCCCAGAGACAGCATGAGCAGAGGGAGTCACCATTCCCAACACTGCTCTTGCTGGCACTCTGCAGTTTAGAGAACTTAAACCCCAAGCCTCTTAAACTACAAACAAAATGGAACCAATCCCAAGATTTGCAACATTTTAGATTCATTTTCAAATGAAAAGCGGGGGTTGTTTCATGAAACGAGATTCAAGTGGCTTTAATTCCACTGCACATCAATGCAATCCATGTTTTACAATACATGGCCACGTGTTGAGTGCAGGACATACTAAGAAGCAGGGAAATGGGAACATTCTACTCTCTGGAAAAACCTGCAATCTAAAATTGACCTAACACAGGGATATTCCTGCTGCAGGATAATTCAGGGATACAAGCAGCACATTTTTACATTTTAGCTGCAAATGAGGTGCAAAAGGCAGCAGAGGAAAACCTCTCCAAGGGGAATGAGCTGCTCTCTGCAGACAGGCTGCTCTCAAGCCATGCAGGAGCAGAGAGGCAGCGATGAGTGCTGCATGAGCAGCTGCCCTCGCACCTCTCTGGTGAGCACACACCTGCATCCATCCATAGTTTGCAACATCAACATTTATAGGGAAGCAGCCACCACTGGACAAAAGTCAGGCAAAAGCAAACTGAGACTCAGTGCCAAGAGCCCTGCCCTGAAAACTGATGTGTTACCGACACCCCGGCCCTAAAAGCAGCAACACCAGGGTCCGGACCAATACATCTGCTGCGGGAGGATCTGAACCACACTTGGTAAAACCTTATTGCTAAAAACAGTGTTATCAGGCAGCCTTTGCAGCAGCAGCTTCCCGGCTAGCAGGGCTTTCCCTGCGCTTATTCTAATGATACACATTCAATTACTCCAGAAAAGAAAAGAATCAAATCAGAAACATCTGTAGTTTGCCATATAATTACTGGATCTTCCCCATGGAGACTGACCTTTGTAACACTGATACCGGGACCTGAAAGGCTAAATGACAGGATATTCGTGTGGTTTAAATGTAGAACATGATTACAAGGAATTAAACAGGTGCTGGTTACTGTGCGTCTTGGTGTATGTTAACATAAGCGTGGAGTTTATGATCTTACGTTTAATCTTTGTGCTCAGTATGTAGTAGCTGAATTTACTCACTATTAGCAGCCCCAAAGCACTGAAATGCCAATGCCTGGATGATCTAGTAGAGTTGAATACGGGGTTTGAGGTTAATATGCAGCCGTTGCTTTTACCTGTAATAGGAATCTTTTCGACCGCGCTTTCTTCCTTGCTCTCATCTTCACACCAGCTTGGGACTTCTGGATGCGAACACACCATAATGAAAGGCATTTCAAAGTGGCAGTGATCAGACTGGTTTGGTTGCTTTTAAGCCCTACTCCCTTTAATTTCTCACTTTTGTTATCTCTTGTTTATTGATCTAAACTATCCATTACCGCCCTTAAAAGAGGCGCCTACTGTGAACTTTGCTGGCATGCGCTGCCTCTCTGCAGCTTCCAGGGAAAAGGACAAGCTCCCCAAATGTCGGCAATCATTTAAGACCCGATGGGATGCGGGAAACAAACAACCCGCAGTAACGCGGCGGCCTCGTGCGGCAGCGGCACCGTTTATCACCCCCGCCCTGGAAGAGGAGCTTAAATCAAAGCCTCCGTCTCCTCCGCGGATGAAAGTCCCGTGAATTTAGGAGGCCTGAAGCTGTTTACATTTGCTGTGCAAAGAGCACTGCAGCCTAATTGCCTGTCTCTTCTGGACTTTGATGTAAGGGATGCTCCCAGAGCAGCCCAAGCAAGCCGCCCTTGCTACACCAGGCTAATATATTACTTCCTTATCTAAAGAAATTAACTGGGTTTTCACAAGCGTGTTCACCTCAGAGCCAGCACCACACTCAGCAGGAGCCCTTTGAGTTTGGAGAATTTGGCTGTGGTCTGGCTCTGTAGTAAAAGGCAATGCATATACCCCAGCATTGGTAAACGTAGATGGTCTTTAGATACATGCACACCTATAGATCTGTTTTATTAACAGCCACAAGGCTTGCAGACAAAATAGCCACGATGGGCATTGCTTGGTTTAAGTAACAAAAAATGATATATTTAGGAAAATCCCCTTACGAGTATACATTAATTCACCAGTCACCACAATAGAGCCGACTTGGACAGAAATACCAAGGGAAGCACAGCAGCTCTGCACACACAGCCAGCCCTTTGCACTCTTGTTACCTTGTCCTCCTGCATCAGCGAGCCCGGGAGTGTGTTCTGCCTCCTCTGTCTCCCTGGCGCCGTTTGGGGTGGCTGACAAGGTGCTGCAGGAGGGTTCCTGACTGTGAGGAGATGCCCTGTCCCCGCTCTCTCCTGGCAGGGCCTCTCTCCACCCGGGCAGAGCCTGCAGCATCAGAAATAAAAACAGCCACAGCACGATTAGCCTTGCTCTGCAGCGGTTTCCAACATACATTTAGGCTAATCTGTACTTCACGCTGTAAGCTGTTTCCAGGATGGTGTTGTTAGAGGGTAAATTAGCTCCGAGTTAAAGCGGCGCTAGCTCAGGAACTGCAATTCTGCTTCAAGTAACACCGACTCTGAATTGTTCCTTTAATCCCTAGGCTTGCTGCAGACTGAACTCCTGCCTCCCACAATCAGGGCACGCAAACGGAAGGGTGCATCAAATATACCACAACAGCCTCAGAAGAGATGTCTCCCTTTCAGCACACAGCAGTAAGGCAGGTTAACCACAGCATTAGCAACACCTGCAGCCTAAAACAACACCGGGACCAGCGAACCTGAGGGCAGAGAGCCCAAGGCAGCCCAAGTAGCCTCAAGCAGCCCAAGTAGCCTCAGCCCACCCCAGTTCCCATGTCAATCCCCATTATTCCCACAGGCTGGTAAAGTTTGTTCTCTCCTGGCAGTGTACACAGCCCTCTGCAGTGGCACTACTCAGACCTTCATAGCTAAGCCTATTACTGACATAAGAAATACAAGCCGGAAGCCAGTACCTTTATAGGGAGTAGAACTGACCATAAACATGGCCGAGTTAAAAGCAGGCTTAAAACAAAGGCAGCACTTCCCAGGTTATATCCTCCACCCGTGTGAAGTGCTGCGTGTGGCTTTACACAGCTCCTGAGAGCAGGGGAAATCACCCTCCTGGCAGCTTAGTTTACACATACTGAGCTGAGAGCATGGAACAGCTTCAAGCCAAAGCATTCTGGACTCATGGGAAACTTATTCTCCTGAATATGCCCCCTCTTCATAAATCCATATTTACTCAGGAGCCAAGAATGGCAACTTTTAGTCTTAAATAGCTTGCCAAGATTTTCCTTTCTATTAAACTTACATATGGGAAGTCTTCCAGTGTGGACAAGGAGCTAAGATGCAAGGCAACAGAAGGCAGACATAATTTAGTGATGAGAGACAAGGAGGAGCCTTAACCTGCCCGAGGGGAGACTGAGCTGAGCTCTTAGGCAGAAGCTCTTCCCTGTGAGGGTGCTGAGGCGCTGGCACAGGGTGCCCAGAGAAGCTGTGGCTGCCCCATCCCTGGCAGTGCTCAAGGCCAGGTTGGACACAGGGGCTTGGACCAAGCTGCTCCAGTGGAAGGGGTCCCTGCCTGTGGCAGGGGTTGGAGCTGGAGGAGCTTTGAGGTCCCTTCCCAACCATTCCATGATTCTGTTCTATGCAAGCTGCTTGGAAATGAGGTGTTCTAAAGTAGAGGACGGATCCTGGCATTACATTTAATTGACTGGATGCACTTAATAGGCAATCTAATGTTAAATGCGTGTGGTCCACAGTAACACGTAGCAGTAAACAGATTACTGCTGCACATATTCACCCATAAAGCTCGTGTTACTGAGCTTTGCCTCTGTAAAAGTTTTGACATGCAATTATAAATGGATGTATTTGTTTCTGTCACCAGCACAGTGCTACATTCCTTGCTCATCTCTTCTACTTGACTGACTGTTTTAAGGACAGAATACAAATGACTTACCCACATAGAGAAAGAGAAGTTACCCTGCTATAATTGAGAGTGTACAAACGACTAAAATAGTCTATCTTCATTATTTGATTCAAACGCTATTAAAACTGGAATATAGCAAAGCAGTTCCAGCTGCTCTTTAATTTCTCATTAAATATTAGAGGGGGAATATTTTTGACTTTGGGTGTGAAAGAGCTGGTTTATAACCTTCTCTGTTAATGTTTAAAAATACATGAGCAGGCTGCTATTTGTAAAGCTCTCTGCGCATTCAGGCTACCAAACATAACTCTCTTTAAAAGAAATAAATAGTAAAATACATCATGCATGATAAAAAGCTACTAAGCCCCAGAGAAAGACAGATGATAGAAGCCTCATGATGGATTCACACCACAGCGAACGTGTGGGCTTGTTTAAATAACTGGTTTGAAGGGTGGAAAACAGACACCCTCCCAGACACTGTTTTCGTTGTGGGGTGCAGAGCTGTGCATATTTGCCCTGAGACAACTGAAGAACATGCATCCTCTCCTTGACCATCTCAAAGGCTGATTAATGAGCACAGCCTGCTTGTCCTTCCCCTCAAAGCCCCCTCTCTAGACTGCATTAGCAGCACAAGGCCCAGCTCGCCTTAGCAGTGCAAATCAGTCCCTGGGTGTCCCTGATTCAGGTAGCACTGGATGCAAGTCCCAACCTGGCCATCCTGTGCCAGCAGGCGCTCGAACATCTCCGACACTTCTTGTGGGAGCTGAACCTGGTGCTTCCTCAGGAAGAGGGCATGCTTGCTCAGGCAGGTCCGCAGTGCGTCCATGTCCCAGCTCTGCTCCGGCCTGAGGAACAAACCCAAGCGCTGTCAGTGGGACACCCCACGTACACCACACTCACACAGGCACCACAGAGGTCAACCTGCAGCAGCAGAACCCTTTGAGCATTTTGCCCTTAATCCCCACTTTCTCTTCCAAAAATGTTCCAGGTGGAAGGCAGAAGAAGTCAGTTGTGACTTCCACAAACACGGGAGGGTGGGCAGGGACCACCACCACCATCTCTGACCCCAGGCCCATCCTGAAACTCAGGATCAGGAGACATTAAACCCTTCCTGCAGCCCCCAGTCCCAGCCTGGGCAGGCCTCACTCACTCCATGAGGTGCTCTGCTCAGCACCTTCTTGTCTTTTCGATATTAATAATCATGTCATTGTTTTTGAGCAAAAGTGCCTTTTCCTTCAACGCACAAACTACAAACACTGCCACCCTGTTTGCCAAAGATGTTTGTTTCTTTAGTTGCTCCAATGAAGTTTGACAAACAGAAGAGAGAATTCCAATTAACTCCACGAGTGTTTGTCCCCAAGAAACCATTCAGGAGATACAAGAAGGTATTAGTGCTCACAGGCATATCAGCCTCGAAAGGAGAACCAGGTATAGCTAAATAGACCATTCTTCAGAGCTCACAAGTGCCCCGATCCTGCTAACACTTGAGCATTGCTGAGCCTCGAACAGGGAGGAAGGTCTAGACAGAAGCTAAGTAAGAAAGAATGGAAATTGTTTTCATTACTGCACTAAAGAGACCTTAAAAAAAAGTAAATCAATTTTCACTTGTCCTTGTGGCAAATGCACAGGAAAGCGAGAGCCCACTTTGAATAACGGAGGTTATTGTTTTTAAAGGCTATATGCATCTTCTGCTTCGCAGGAAAATAATCTGCTTCTCAAAATGACATTCCCCATCCTCACATGCCCGAGCCTCGCGCTAAGATCACCCACATTACTGCCTGAGAGGTCTCTGAAGTTAATGTGCTTCCCTCCCTGCCGCAGCAGCCTGGGGCGGGGGATGCGGCCGGTGGGACCCTGCCCGGAGCACTGAGATTCACCAGCACAGAATGGAAAGGAAAACAAATGCATTTGGTTAATGTCCTTGTTTGGAGCCACACAAAGATCAGCACTCGGACATCTCCATGTCCCAGTGCGATCCAGGTCTGGCCTGGGCCCGCTTTCTCTGCCCCAGAGCAGACTTGAGAGGAAAGGAAAGGACAGAACATTCATCACCCTCCAGGCACGTTTTGTGGCTGAGATACCTGCTTTGCTCTTCATCCTCTGCTCTGCCTTGAGCCCGGAGCGTGTTCTCAGGTAGGAGGCAGCCATCCAGCCTGCTCTGTAAGGAAGCCTGAAGCTGATGGAGGACGACAGCTTCGCACGCTTCAAGGTCGCCGTCTTCCAGCCTGGTGGCCCCGCTACAAAATGAAGCAGGTATTACAGGCAATGGCTGTGTAAAGCCCAGACAGCTGCCTGGCTTTGGAGGCAGAATGTGCAACACCCCTCCTGGCTAAGGGGCCAGCCCAGAGGGACAAACATCCATGACAACACTCTCTGCAACAGGGAGGTCAAACCCAGCCCTTAGGAAACACCAGGTTCAACCTCATACCTCTACTTCTGGCAGGGAGAGAGGAACCTGCACTTGGTGCAACCACTTAATCCCAGTTTATGGAGCCTGACCTATAGCTTTAAATAAAAGTACAAAGCCATTCCCAGTCGTTGGAATGAGGAGCCCATGCTGCAGAGGGACAGTGAGGGCTCTCAGAACCCAGGGTTGTTCAGATGTGGGGTTTGGTGATACTCGCTGCTCTTTTACCTTGAAGAAATGATTTGCCTGGTTATTGCTGCCTACCTCAGTAAATCACACCAGCATGAGTAGCTAAGGGGTGCTCTCATTCTTGGGAATCAGTATTTGCTTCACCAAAGGGGTGTGTGGAGCAAGGCTGCAGAAAGTGCTATGTTTGGGAAAGAGGATTTGTTGCAGTAATGTGCCTGGGTGCCTCTAAGTGCCATAGTTCAGCTCCCTGATGACAGGAAAGCAGCGGAGGGGAGGGAGGCCTCTTAGCCATGTTTGTTTGCAGGAGCCTGGGTGCTCTTTGCACCGGCCATTTATCACCACAGACCTGGCTCGAGCCTCAACAGGCTCCTGCACCGCTGCTGGGTAACGGCCCCTCACCGACCCAATGTGGGTACAAGGGGGTGCAGCCACCACCAAACTCACCCCAGGCATGGACAGCAGCGAGCAGGACCCCAGGGAGGGGACGAGGTGTGAGGAGGCACTGCCTGTCCACCCCCCGGCCTGCCTGCTCCATAGGGGCAGCATTAACCTGAGCAGCTCCAGTGTCACCACGTGCTCACCCTGGTACAGCACCCGGCGCCAGGGGCTCGTCCTCACCGCGTCTTCTATCTGCTCCAGTGCACGGGAGAGGGCTGCCAGCATCCCACGGGAGCTGCGGAGGGACAGCAAACAGGGCTTGAAGTGACCTGTGGTGGACAGGTACTGAAATGCATTCCCATCACAGCAGCTGGAAAACACACCCTCATTTTAGCTTTCCAAGCAAAGCAACAGCACAAACCACGCTGCTTCTTGAGCTCTGTAAGGAAGGGGGGGGGAAAGGCAAGCACATGAGCAAATAAAGCATCCAAAAATGAGCCAGGGCCTGAGACACTGCATTGAAATCACCCCCGCGCGAGTGGCTTAATTCCTTCACCACCATCGCAACAAATCTGGTGACCACCTACAGGTATGGGGACATAGCTGGGACCTCAGAGGGGTTCTGATGAAGCTGCACCTCTATAATGATGCAAATGAGGACTTAAGACGTTGAAACAATGGAGCAGGCTAATCCTTGCACAGAGGTGTAAATGGCTATTCAGGTCCAGGCCGGCTGCCCGCTTTGTTGGGGTCTTTCCAGGCCAGGTCTCCACCAGCAATGCCCCAGCTGGGCCTGGCCTCAAGGAAGATTTGCTTTCTTTCTTCCCCACCATGTGGAAGCTGACATGTTTATACAGCTAACCCCGCGGTGCAGCGCTCCAGCCACAAGCTCCCTGCACCAAAACTTGGGTCATTTCAGCCTTGTTAAGCTGGACCCAAAGTTGTGCTTCCCTGTGGGGCAACAGTGAACAATGAAGTGGGGGCTGTGGCGCATTTAGCCGAGTTTCCTAGACATTTAATAAGCAAAACAATGCCAGGGGGATCACATATGCAGTTAAACAGCGCTTTCTCTTTCCCCCCAGTCTCACAACCCCTGTGTTTCAGCGGCCGGCTTGTTTCCCATTGTCTTCCTCCCACTGGGTGGTCCTTCCAGGGTGCCACTCGAGAGGGATACAATAATAAAAAGGGAAGGGGAAGGAAGGGACACCAACATAAAGCAAAACAAAATGTATGACAATCTGCAGCAGGCTACGGATCAGAGGTCAGCAAACAAGAGGTCCTTCTCTTTTACAGGTTGCTTCCTGGAAACAGTCTGATTAAGCTGACAGCTTGAATTATGTGTTACATTTTGTAATGCACAATCCATCTGTGCTAAGTCCTCTTCAATGCAGCTGAAGCAGCACAGGAATAAGCTCTGCCTTTTTCCACCCCCTCAGCACAGGCCTTAAAATAGTCATCATCTTTCCCTGCACTGAGGCTCAGAGACCCTGTCCCCCAACACCTCCCGCTCCTCGGGTTTAAGCCCTTAAAGAAAGGGCTGGCTGCTGTAAGGAATGGTGAGAGGAGACCCAGCCTTTCCCCTCCAGCTCACACCAGCAACAAGCAGCCGAGGGCGGGAGCTATGGGGTGGCCTCACGGAGTGGGAGCAGCTCCGGTGCCTCCATGGGGCTGCCCCAAGCGGGGCAAAGCCCCTGCTCACCGCATGCTCCTGGGCTGAAAAGAGGCCAGGAACACAGCCCAGGCTGTCGGGGGGGGGGGGGGGTCTGAGAAGGCAGCGTGAGTCTGAAGTGCCCGTGGGCAGCCTCGGGTCAATGCAGCCACCCAGCAGCATTCAGAGACACCGCAGTGGTTTGGCAAACACCAGTATCTTCACTAACCAAGGTGGCAGAACTGCAGCAGCCTCCCGTGAGCTGCAACCAAGGCCACACCTCAGGCGAAACAGCCTTTCACAGCAGCATCACCTCGACTTGGTTAATAGCTCAATGATGCTATCAGAACCACTATGATTGAAAGCTGGAGCCGGCACTTTGAAACTAGGCTGAACTCACCCAGAGGTGAAATACAACCTGCAAACACTGGGGGGGACACCCCAAAACTTGATAAAAACAGAAAGAGAATGGTGTCTCTGCAGTGAAGTAGGAAAGGCATTTTCTCCAAACCAGCAACATGTGACTTCCTGACAGGAACAATGGCTTTGGGTTGCTCTTGAGTAAGCTGCAGCCTCCAAACACAAGAGCTCTTTTCAGCTCCATCACCTGCACTGATTGCAAACCATACAGCAGAAGTGCACGAATGGCCTCAAAACAACAGGCGAGGGAACTGTGCTTCACGTGAATGCCCCAGCAGCCACCCTGCTGCAGTGGGAGAGGTCAAGCTACAGGTATTTCAGTTTCAGATGGCACATGTGCAGAGGTCAGCGTGTTTCGTCAGCCAGCACAGGACTTCAAGATGAAAACCCACAGGGACTGAAGGGTCACAGCAAGGCCTGTGAGATTATTCACTTTGTGAAGCTGTCCATGATGAATTCAGACCAAGAAAAGTTGTATCCCTATGGTTGGTGTAATTCATGTAATTGAAAACCTTGTACTAACAACCTGGGACCTTCTCCCCAAGGTTTTCAGCTCCCAAAGTATTCTGCAGGCCTCCAGTGTGCACACTGGATTTCATGGGCATCGCGAAGATGGACTGGGAAAGCCCACCTGGTGATGAGCATCGGGAAGGCTGCTTCCCCTCCATGAGACCTTCCCTCCCTGCCACCTCTGAAAGCTTTCCTATGGTTTCATTTTCGGGTAAAACATCCCAATTCCTATCTTTCCTGCAGGAGCAGCTCCCACTTCCATTCCACAGCCTTGAGAAACGGAGGCGTTCAGCTTGGCATAATGCAGAGCAAACCTCCCTGCTCTGGTTTCAGTCGTGCTCTGGAGATGATGCGAGCAGCAAAACCTTTTGTGCAGTGTACCTGGGCCCCAAAAGCATTGCACAGTGCTTCCATCGCCCATGGACCACGGGAGGGAACAAAAGGGTAACCTGCCACCGCTGCAGCAGCGCCTTCCCTGCGAGCTGCTCTGGTTAACAGGTGGTTACAGCAGAGACGCTGGGTAAAAGCTATTTAGATGTAAATGAGATGATGTTCCCATAGCAAGCAACAGCCTGATGCAAATGGGACATGATAAAGTTACACGAGTGTATATTGATGGCTGCGAGTTTCTGCTCAACCTATTAAAATAGAAGCTAATATTGAAATCAGCACCTAAGCCTCCTGACCAGGGGCGCAGGAAGAACAGATGCGTTCAGCTGCAACCAACCCAAGAGGAAACAAACCAAAGCCTAACCAGCAACAGAGTGCACCTCATTCTCCAGGGGTAAAAACACTGCTTGCTTCTGTACATGGTCTCTCCTCCCCACACAGCCACCACCTAACCACCCTCTGTCTAGCTAACTGCTCCAGCTAGGGCTGTTCTGCACATGGACAGTGCTGGCACAAGGCAGGGAGCCCCAAAGAGAGCAGCACAGTCCTGCAGAAAAGGCTTCCTTCACCATTTCTGTTGTGACTGGAGGCAGGAAAATGCTGTTGAGGAGGCAGAGGATAAGGAAACAGAAGCGTGCTGCTGAGGGAGAGCAGGCAGAAAGAAAGCAGCAGTCAGAGGTCATGAAACTGTGGTCAGGCAGGAGCAGGATGGCCGGGGTGAAGGGATGTGGACATGAAGCACTGCAGAAGGAACTGGTGGCAAAGAGACTTTCAGAAGACCTAAGACAGGAGACAGAAGCAGGAGGGATGCGGCTGCAGCAATGCAGCAGGACAAGGTGGGCACCCAGGAAGGGGCAGCAGCAGTTGGCATGGGGCTGTTTGAGGGAGCAAAGCCAGCCCTTCCCTGTGACCTGAGCAAGCCCCATGGACCAGCCCACAGTGGGTACTGCCCAGCAGGACAAGGATGTGCTTCCCTGTCTTACAAGGGTGCTGCAAAGCCAAAAGCCCAGCTGTGACTCACACTACAACCAGTATACTGGTAGTGAAGTTGTTGGCAACAAACCCCCTCCACTTTGATGGGATAACAGAGGACAAGCCATGTGTCCACAAAGCACTTCCCTCATTCCTCCTCTTGTTCTCAGTCTATTTCCAAACAGAATGCTCAAGAGATTTAACCAACTGGTAATTTTAGTTCACACAAAATATACTGGATAGTAAACTAAGTACTATTATAGATAACGATTAAGTATTACTATATATATATACACACTAAATAGATGGGTAAGAAGTTTGCCCAGGCACCAGCCTCCAGCACACAGGCTAACGAACGAGTACCAGCAGAGCGAAAACACACAAGGACATACCCGCCTGGTGCTGAGCTGAGCAAGGGCAGCTCCTCCTGCTCCACGTGAGGGGTTGGTGCATGCACTGAGGAGTCTTCTGCAGTGTGGGCATCCCTGCCCTGCTCCCAGTCTGCCACTGGTGAGGCCAATCCCTGCGGCACGCTCGGCATCACCTCCTCGGTGCTGGCAGGGCCTGGCAGCACAGTGCTGATGCTCAGCTCCTTGGGTCTCCACTGGTTACCCAGGCCTGGTTTTGGTCCTGTAAAATTGGTAACAATCATAATTACCAAAACGTTAGCAGGACCAAGGAATGCATCACAGCATAGGGCAGAAACTAATATCACTACACTGCTTGTTCACCTTTTGCACTCCACACGCATGAGTGAGCATCCCTCTGCTCTCCCTGCACTCTGGGCTTCATTGCCCGAGCCCTTCGTGTCCTTCCACGCTCCTCTCGCAAGGGGGAGTCCGGGGAGGCTCCAGCCCTTCAGGTCTGCAGCTCCCGGCCGGCGGGGCACTGCTCACACACCATCACCCGTGGGACAGGCACTGCTCACACACCATCACCCGTGGGACAGGCACTGCTCACACACCATCACCAGCAGGAAGAGCAGGACTTCACTAAACTCTCCCTGGAGACCCAGGAACAGAGACACTGGGACAAAGTGCACTTGGAGAGGCTGCTGCCATGGACATCCTTAAACCTCGCAGAAGAAACTCAAGCCTGGAGGCGTTCAGACTGCACATTAACTGCCTGCTCTAAGAGTATGGGACTGAATTAGCTTTGAAGACAACAGACACACACTACTGTCTTCCTATAGAGTGCCAAAAGTTAATGAATGGCCCAGCTACTGCTGTAACCAATTGGAATTGCTATGGGAATTCCCAGTTTTCCATAAATTCACCATGGGTTTGAAGTACCCAGCACTCAAACACCTGCTGATGCTACAGCACCCAGCAGTTCTGCCCATCTCCATCCTGGAGTTCCACTGGAACCAAATCACTTCAGTTTATGCCAAACAGTGGCTGGTGCCAGGGTGGGCTCTCAGCCAGGGTCCCGAATTTGTGAGGCAAGTATGGGAAACGGAATTGTCACTCCTGCACCTGCTGGGCAAGGAGGGTGGGAGGATGGAGAGGAACAGGGGCACTTCTGCAGTTTGGAGAGGGAAGAAAGGGGCATTTTGTTTCATTAACCTGGAGGCACACAGGGCTTGCTCCTCCCTACAAGTGCTGGCGCTGTGAGCGGTGCCAGGGAGCAGCAGGAGAGGCTGGCGAGCCTGGGATGGCACAGCCAAGCATCTTCATCAGCTCCTATCGCTGCAGAGGGGAAGGCCAAGCTCAGGAGAGCTGGAACTCTGCACATTCCAACCTGGAGCGCATTGGCCTGTGTGCTTTGCAGCGGCGGACACGGAAAGCCCCCCGGGCAGCCCAAGGGGATTAATGGGCTGTTTGACAGAAAGCCTGGTTTGATTTTGAACCCAACTGCACAGATTCTCTGAGGGCACAGACACAGCATCCCACAGATTAAATGGGTATTTCTCTCCCAGACACAATGCTGGCCACCCCCAGCCTTCCCCACGGGGAGGAGCCGGCAGAGCCCAGGGCTGGCGTAAGCTGCACTGGTCTCCTTCAGCGCCAGCAAGGACAGGCTTCCATTACAACAGAGAAGTGGCAAATGCATCAGATGAAAGAAAATGAGAGGCAAGTAACTCCCTTAGAGAAAGAAAAAGGAATGGGAAAAACCAAACCTCAAGAGAGAGGATGCCAGAAAGACCCCAAGAACAGAAGAGCATCGGGTGGGGATGCCAGCTTTCCTCTATGGAGAAACTCACAGTCATTACCTGAGAGCACCATAAGGGTTGCCACGAGTTTCCATTATAAATAGCTCCATTTTAGCAACTGTTATGGGGCTTGGAAAAGTAGCTTAAATTGAAAATTGCTACATTAACTGGCAAAGCAGCAGAGTATTCCTGCAGGGTCTTAAAAGAGGAATAAACTGCTACTTAGCAAGAAGCCTTGGTCACTGTGACTTCAAAGACAAGCCAGGCAGCTTACCTCAGAGGAAGTGACCAAGCCAGTAAAATGGGAGAGAACACATTTTGCCATGATGGGGGAAGAAAAAGGAATGAGCAGTTGGAACACGGCCTTTGAGGGCAGCACACCTCACCCCAGAGCACGAGCATCTCAGCTGGGAGCATCACTGCCTTTCACTGGAAAATCCAGCACAAAGCACAGAACCACCAGCAAGCAGGAGTGAATCCAGCCACAGATGGGAAAATCAACCTGGAACAGAAGGGACATGCTCTTACAGTGAAACAGGAGCACATTAAACCTCTTAACAGGATCAGACTAAGGACAACTGTGGGCACAGCAGTGAGTCTTGACTTTTTACTAGTGAACGTGAGTGGGACCAGCCTCCAGCGAGCCCCTGCCTGTCCAGATGAGGGGCCTGGGAGGAAATGGAGTCAAAAGGAAGAAGAAAACAGAGAGAAGGATTGCCACCATGCTTCAAGCCCAGCACTGGAGAGGCAAAGGGCAAACCAGCAGCCATGGGCACTGCTCTAGTTGGGTGCTGAGCAGAGGCGGACAGGAACGCATCCCGCTCCACCTGGGATGCTTCCCTGTGGCTGTTCCTCCTCAAGGGTACCTGGTTTGCTATCAGAAGCTGAAGAGATGAGCTCCTCGGAGTCTTCCTCACTGGCAGCCACATCCCCAGGTCTCGCTGCTCCCTCCACTGATGCACCCCTCTCTAAACCAGTGCTTCTGCGCTCCAGACCAAGTCCTTCAAGTGATGGAAGGCACAAAGATTGGGCAGGCGCTGAGCAGCTCTCTGTGGGCTGAGGGGGGTTCTGCTGGGTGCCCAAACCCCCATCAGCTGGTACGGCTGATGTGTGGGGGCTCATAAGGCCTGTAGCTGGGTGATGGAGTTGTCCTGGCACGGTTGTCCTGGTGCTGATTCCTGCCCACGGCATCTGAAAAACACAGATGGGAGATGGCTTAAGGAAACAAACAGGCAGCACACTGCAAATGGGCCTTCTAGAGCATGGCATGTTGGTTTCTGAAGAGAAACCTGCCACCAAATGCAAGTACTCTCTATAATATGATTACTATACAAACACGTGGCACACATTTCTCACATCCTAGTGAGAAAACAACGGCCTGGACCTCAACTGAAGCTCTGTGAGGCAAAACAACCAGTGGCGAAAGCACACTGCATCTCCAACCTGACCATAGGGACTGAAGAACGTGAAGGACTCAAACTAATCTAAATGGTAACTTGGTTTTGCAAGTAGATTAGGCTCCTGCAAAGGCTTTTCAGACCCTGACCAAAGCAAGAAGCAGCCCACTGAAGCCATGAGAACGTGTTGAAGTGACGACTCCAGAGGAAGAGCTGTGCTCTGGGTATGACCGAGCAGGCGCTGGCAGCCTGTGGTTTAGATACTGCAGCATCCCCCAAAGCCAAGACACGACCATTAGGACCCTGTTGCAGTGACCAGGGCACAGCTGCCCCTCTGGAGCCACCCACAGCAGCAGCTCTGAGCAGCCACCTCCTGCTGCTCTTCTTGTGGTCTTCTCTAAAGGCAACGGGATGAGGAAGGGTCCCCAGAGTCTGAGGCATACATCTGCCATCGCTGGCTTGTCTCTATATCCAGCTTTGCTCACAGCATGTCAACAAAGCAGATAAAAACGAGGCAAGAATCACTGCATTGTCTTCCTTCTGCTCTTTCCTGCCTGTTAAATCACACCAAAGAGGAAGAACAACTACTCAGCTAACACCACGGAGATGAAATCTCCTTTTCCACGAGGCAACTTTGGCACCAAGCAGAAACGTTTTGAATGGCCCTTTCCTCCAAGAACTGTTGAACTTGCATGAAAACAGTTCCAACAGTAAAAGCACTCTGCTTCAGATCCCAGTGGTTTAATACTTGCCTTTTTTTCCTTTGTAAACCTACTCAATCAGAACAATTTAGAAGGAGTGGCTGCCGCCACCACTACTACTAAAAGGTCACCACCAGTTTATGCAAAGCCAAAATTAGCTACCGTAATTCCATTGTTCATACTAAGCAGGGCTTACTGTTCAGCCCCAAATCACAGCAGGAGAATTTACAGTCACCTCCACACCTCTCTCCTCTCTTTCATTGCCTGACCTCTTCCTACCATACAAAGTCAGCTGCCAAGCCCAGCTTAAAGGAAACAAAGGCATCTTGTCTAGTCTGTGACCAAGTTTCATTTAAAAAGCTCAAATTCCACATAACAAGCAGCAGAACAAAAAGCCATGAAGTTATTCTATGAAGGAGTAAAGGTTTGCTACTCAGATTAAGTTCACAGCTTATTCCACCAGCGCCGCTCTCGGGTTCCTCCTAATTACTTTTCAGGTGTTGGATTTGCTGCTTTAAAATGACTCTAGTGAGTACTTTATGGATTTAGCAGCTCCTGGATGTAGCGTTCCAAAACAAATGCAATTCAGACAGGTACAAGTGCTTTGCAGAGCCGCAGCAGACACATCTCTAACAAGCTCCTCTTTGATTGCAGAGAAAAATCATCTCTTTACCGCCTTTGCTTTCTCAAAGCAGAAGTGTGGCAGATGACGCTGGTTCAGGTACTGCTTTTACCACCCAAAACAACAGGAAGAGTGTGTAGACTTGCCCAAAATAGTCAACAAAACGACTGAGCTTCATGTCACTCGAGCCAGGAATTAAACAGTCTCTGCATAAAGCACACTTACCATCCTCTCTTTGGTGGTGGAGACCAGGCTCCCTGCTTCTCCCTCCCGTCACAAATACAATCTTATTTATTATCATCAAAGTGGGTTTGAAGAGAACAAAGATAGGAAGAAAAGTCCCTTTTTTTCGTGCACCTCTCCCAAGGTGCACAAGTCCAAAATGTGCAGAACTCAAGGAAGTGCTCTGAAGATGAAGACTCCATGGCCCAAAGGCTTCCAAAGCCCACGTTACACAGCTCTGCAGCTCAGGAGGACACCTCTGCTGCACAGGGCATCTCCTCCAACTTTCAGCCCTGGACTGCTGTCACACTTGGCTTCAGTGCTCAAGCCCTCTCCATGGAGAATCATGGTTTTCCAGACAAACACAGTTTGGATAGATGAATTCTGAGCATAAAACTGGGGAGTCCTAAAGACAGCACATCCCATGGCTCATGGAAGTAGCTGATACACTGGTGGTTTTGAGCCAGTGGGATACTGACCATCTCTGGAAGGATGCTTCTGTGGCTGCCCTAGTTAGTCTCCAAGGCACATCACTGACCAGGTTATCACACAGTCACTGCCATCAGCTGAGAAAGTTGGGGCTGTTCAGCCTGGAGAAGAGAAGGCTGCGTGGAGACCTCATGGCAGCCTTCCAGTATCTGAAGGGGGTCTATAGGGATGCTGGGGATGGACTCTTCATTAGAGACAACAGTGATAGGACAAGGGGTAATGGGTTGGAACTTAAACAGGGGAGGTTTGGATTGGATATAGGGAGGAAATTCTTTCCTGTTAGGGTGCTGAGGCACTGGAATGGGTTGCCCAGGGAGGTTGTGAATGCTCCATCCCTGGCAGTGTTCAGGTCCGGGTTGGACGAGGCCTTGGGTAATATGGTTTAGAGCGAGGTGTCCCTGCCCATGGCAGGGGGGTTGGAACTGGATGACCTTAAGGTCCTTTCCAACCCTAACCATTCTATGATCCTGACCAGCCTGAAGGCAACCACTGCAGGTAAATTAAAACCAGTTCCAAGCTGTGATGATTTGCATCCTGCGTACACCACCAGCAACTGTGCTGGCTATGACTGCCTCATTGCCACGCCACTGAGAACACTTGTGTTCTGGACATCATAAGCAGATTTTAAGGTGGGGGGGGAAGGTGGTGGGAAATGGGCACAATTAGTCCAAAAAAAACAGAGCTAGATCTGAGACACAGCCCATAGACAAGGCAGAAGGATGCACAATTTGGTTGCAGCTACCTTTGTATTTAAGGAGGGAGATAAGAAGGAGAAAGGAGGGGGCAGGGGATGAAAGAGTCCACAGTCACATTGTTAATTCAACTAACTAGTTAAATCAAGCCAGTAGCTCAACATGAAGTGACAAATTTGGGTATGCATCAAGTTGCACTGCCCCCAACCCACCAACAGTTGTTAAACATCCAAGTTCCATGGCAAGCCTTTGACGTTCCAGTATCTGTGCAGAGTTTTCCATAGGTCAGAAATCACATCTCCTTCACTGACAGCTTTTAATTGAAGAATCCAGCATTCAACAACAAACTCACCTTTTCACACACGTCTGAATTAAACTCGTGATTCAGAGGCTGCTTCTATAGGTCAAGGTTGCTCGGGTTCATTGCTTTGTATATTGCAGTTTAAAGAAGGCTCTAAATTCAAGGTTTTTAACTTTTTAATCTACAGGGAAAACTTCCTATAAACTCAGATTAATGACTGCTAATGCACTGAGGAAAGGAAACCAAAAACCTGCCTCCTACTATAAAAACAAAATAGTGTGGCCTCTGTTTCTTTTCTGATAAGAGTCTTAAATACCAAACATTTAACTGCATAATAACATTTACTGGCAGCCAGGCAGCCTGCTTAGCAGATACATAAAGCAGGTAAAAGGAGAAAAAGTTAATTTCTTGGCTGAATGATTCCATCGGTAGCTATAGGGCAAACTAGAAAGTCTTTTAGTAAAGTAGCAGTTGATTCTTCTATCAATCTGCAGCACACATACTCTTCCAAGGAATGCATTAAATATGAAAATCATATCCCGTTATCATCTGTTCCCAGCTTTCAGCCCAGTAAGCTTTTCTTAATGAATGCTGTAGCCTAAGGGACAAGCATGCTGTTGGCTTTGCTGAATAATGGAGTGATGCTGCCGCTTTTGCTTATTCCAATATCGACTGGCTGAGGGGGTTTCACACATAGTCACAAGTGACTACTCTTGCCAGCATGCTCCAAGTTATTACAAGATGTTTTTAGACATTTCATCTAAAAGAGCTTTACTGCTTTTAGTGAAGAAAACAGCTATGGTCTTGAACTGTATCATTTATATGGAGATAGGAGGAGGGATTAGAAGCCTGCATTACCGCAGATATATAGCGGAATACATTTAAGTATTCCTTGTCAGTCTTTTTGTCTGTTCCTCAGATAGGCAATCTCCTTCTGCTGCTTCTGAGGAAAGGTCAAAACGCACAAAATTAGAACGACACCCTGTGAATCGACTGCTGCATTTTTAACCATCCTTCATTAAGAACATTCCCTCCTCAGTCAAGACCGTTTTCACACTGTTTGGCACAAAACCCAACACGAAGATGGATACAAGCACTCAGAGCTCCCCACTAATTCCAGTTCTCTGGTTGCAATAATGTGCACTTCTTGCCCAGGTTCTTATGCTTCTCTCGGGTGCTAAACAATGCTCCACGCTACACACGCTGCAGCACAACTGCCCAGAGCAGAGCCATGCCTGCTCCTCGCGCGGCAGCACATCCGTGTCACAAACCACGTTACCCCCTCCTTCCCATTACCTGCTTCATGCAGCCCCATTCCTTGTCACCTCCTGCTGCCAAGTCACCCTCTCCGAGCGGTAACACACGTTTAATTTCTCTTCCGTATGATGCCTAAAAGCGAACAAATCCATTACATAAAATTGAAGGCCAAAACCGAAAACCCCAAAGCGCCACAAACCAAACTGTGTCTCTAAACGCAGTGCCCTGGCAGTGGTTTTTGCTTGGGCTATGTTTAAAAAGCCAGAAATCCCATTTTCTCCCCCTTTTCCTGCTCCCCAGCACAACTGATGTTGCTGGTACTCAATCTTCTGCAGGTTTTCAACACACATTTATTCATCCACGTAATTTAGAATCCTTTAAAATAGGAATAACTTGTTGACTCCAATTTATTTCATCCCAACAAGCATCTGCAACGCCAGATTATTCCTGCTGTACCCAGACAATGACTCTGCTGCCTCGGGATGAAGGGAGCTTTAGAATTTGGTTTTTTTACATACATCAGCTTACAACTCACTGACAGAAGAATATATGGCAGATGTTAGAGAGCAACCCAGCATGAAGGGCAACTTGCTGTGGTGCTGCACAACCAACCACACACACCGTCCTCACCTCCACTCCACTGTTTAATTGACCAGACGTAACGTGCTCATTGTGGGACTACTGCTTAAAAGCCAAGCACAGGCAGCACCTATAATTAATCCTGTTTGTTAGTAATTGTAAACCCCAATAACAAGTTACATCGGCCCTGAATAAAAGCTCTTCAGGACCTATTCTGCAGCAGGTAATATGCATGAAAATACAGCTTGGAAACAATTAACTTCCCCAGCCCTGCTCTCCACTCCAGTGGCGCGTTCAGCGACTCCGCTATTGCCCAGGTAACAGAAACTGCTCAGAAAACTGTAAACACGGGTTCAGGAAACAGAACCTAACCATGTCCTAAAGATGCTTAGAACAAGCTCCCATGTAACTGCTGGACTGTCCCTGAAAGCTGATGTGAATTTACTTGTACTCACACAACCAACTGCAGACACAAACATGGGGGAAAGTGAGTATTTCAGAAACAAAAGAACTTTTGTCAGCTACAGCCATATAATGAAACGTGCACAGTCATGAAAGCACTCCTAAAGGGCATTCTCCCTCAAGGAAAAGAGAAAACAGTGATCATTTCCTCCTGTGTACTTCCAGAATGGATTCAACAATTACAGGCTCCATCATTCTCATGCATCCATGACAAGTGGTTCTTCAGAACCATGACACACAGACTACGTAACCTGGGCTTTGTGAACAGCTCAGAACGAGGAGTCTAACCTGGCAAAACTAAAATGGATGGCACAGGAACATCAAAATGGAAGCAGTGACTGGAACTCTGCACCCAGATCAACCTGTGGCACAACCGCGGCTCACCCGGTACATTACAGCCTATCACTGCTCAAACTGGGGTGTGTTAGGGCTGCTCGGGAAAAAGATCCTCCATAAAAACAAGAGTAAACCTGCATCAGAGCACCCCGTCCTGCTTGGCTTTGAGGGAAAACAGAAAAGGGGGAAAACCCCACAGCCCTCCAGGAACCGTCTCTCATCTACCAGTAACCAAGGAAAAGGGGCTCTGTGAGCATCACCAGATCCACCAGGCTGAAGAGAATCACCAGGCACTGCTGGGCTCTAGCTGTGCCAGGCATTTGTTAACATGGGTGTACAGCCATGGGGTGCTCACCAGGTTTGTCAGCATGGAAATGAACTGCTGCCCCCCGAGATCGGCTTTTTTCCCAGAGAGATTCCTCACTTCCAAAGGCAGGGGATGAGCCAGCAACCCCCAGTGAAGTCAAGGGCAGCACCTCCCACACGGCAGATGGCCCTGCAAACCTACCAGCATTCAGCCTTAGTCACAGCTCACATCAAACCCCCAAAGTTTGGGGTGGGTTTGTTTTAGCCACAGTACAAATTGTATGAGGCTTGTTGTCACATTACAGTGATGTGACAAGCAGCTCCTGAGGATTCAAAAGGGACCAAACGCTGCATTAACACCCTTACTTAAAAGCACTGATGATTTTTAGAGAGGACCAAGGCTCACACCTCAGGTTGTACATTTAGCTACTGAAAGAACAGAACGTTTCTAATGTAAGAACTGCACACAAAGGGTTTCTTGCCCTTTACAGTGATGCAGTTAGTGAAAGCCAAACCAGACCACAGGAAAAACACACCACATAAAATAAAGCACTTTGTTGCTTCTACATCCCTACTCAGACTAAGCTCCAATAACACTTCCTGGTGTGCTGTTTCCAGGCCATATTAAGAGAAAAGCTTCAAAAACTACTACAAAGTAAGGTTTGCTTGTTTGATTTCTAACTTCTGTATCACTTCACACTTTTCCACCTTCCAATCCCCCTGGTTTTACACTGCAGCCCGACTCTTTCCCCCTCTTTGACACATCCTTCTAGAAGATCACAGTCTACCTTTTATTGTTTTGGATCAAGCTGTGCCTGTCCCTGAACAGAAGAGAAGGAGGAGAACAGCTCATCCTGAGAACACTGCTCCCATCCGAATTCAAACAACATTCCAGAGAAACAAAACCCAATCTCAGCCCAGTTCTAGACAGCCACACAAAGCAGGGGCTGTGTCAGTACCACATCACAGGGGCCTAAAATCCCACCGCTGGTTTGCTTCCTTCCCTCCTCTCTTCTGGCAAGTTAGAACAGGGGAATGGCCAAGGGGCAGACACAGCCCCTGCTGAACCCTCCTGAAGGTGCTGCTGCTCTTCACCAGCAGGTGTAAGTGCATTTCCCTCCCAGAAAACTCCACGTACCAGTGGCATCAGCGATAAGCAGGGACAGCACTAACTATGGATACTCAGGGTGTTCACACCAGCTACATTAGAAATATGTCCTGAAACAACTGATATTTGTGAGTAATAAAAGCTTTACTACAGTTAAACTTACGAGTTTTATAACAAAGCCTTTATGAAACTATTACAACTCAAGTCTTTTTGTCCTAACCTAGACAACGCTGATTTATTATCGCTAAGGCTCCAAACACATTTCCACATCTTTCTGATCTCTGCTCTCCCTTGCTTCCAAAGAGGCTCACTCAGAAGACTGCACAGAGCTCTGTGAAGCACTGCTGACGACCTGTGCAGCAGCATGTATCAGCAGTTTGGGCTCATTTCAAATCCACAACATTACCCCTCTTTAAGCACTCCAGAGCAAACAATGAGGTATCACTAACATCTGCAGTCTTGATGTGTATCATGCTCAGACATAACCTATTTAGCCACCCTGTAACAGCAGTAAACACTAACACATTAGGTCTTATAGAAAGTTACTTCCATCTTCTGAGTCATCTCCAAGCTTGAAGCTTTCATTCGAGCCTCAAGCTGGTCAAACTCCTCCAGCAGGGTCTGGTTCCGCAGACGAGCTCTTTCCTGGCGCTCCTGTACTTCTTTCAAGTAGTTTTTCAGCTTCATGTATTTTAGTTTCATTCTACAGAGGAAAAAGAAACTGTACTTGAGTATGAAAATAACCCAAAGACAGCTATTACAGCCCCTTTTCCCCACACACATATGGACTAACTCTGACATAGGAGCTGCCCCGCATAAAGCAACAGACACAATTTTCTGCACAACCATCCAAAGCCTCATACACCTGACTGGATGCCTGCTATGTAACTTCAGCTTTGAACAGGCGGCCTGGTGTTCAAACTGGTAAAGTATATTCATAAACTCTTGCAAATTTGTTCTAGATGGATTACAGTTTAGTCACTTGTTTCATGAAATCCAAATGAAAATTGCATTTAGAAGAATGTGCTCCAGAAGCCCAACTGTAACATCAGGGCTAAGTTTACGCAACTGCTTTAAGCTGATCTAAATCCCACCAAAGGGATCTCTCACTCCCAGCTTTTCTTTCCTGTGCCAGTGCTATCTGCCATGTGGCCAGGTCAGGCCAGGAGTCAGCCAGCTGAAAATCCATCTAAACCAGCTCTCATCCACCCAAAACACACATTCACTTCCAGCCAGACCTACTTCCTTACCTGCTTACAGGGCAACCACACAAGTGGCCTGGCCAGTACTGCACCCAGCCCTCAGTCCCTTGAGCCAAAATGGAAAGGTTGTCTCAAGAACTTTACAAAACCCATTGGAGGAGAGGAATGGAACAGTGGCTGAGGCACTTTCCAGCCCTCTTTTGTTGCTGTGCGTTCTGGTTTGTGGTTTATATCCCCTTTGGTTTATAGTTTAGGATTTGGTGGGGTTTGGTACAGACTGTATATACAATTTACATTAACAGATAATGCAGAAAATCTAAGGAGCAGGACCAGACCCTACAATATCTGCTAGGGTTTCCTAAGGCTTTCAGACCATAGGATCCCAGGACTCTGTAGCACAAACTATGCTACAGTGATTCTATAAAAGTTGCACAAAACCTATTTCTTGTTGGCTACTACCAATATAATCATATTTTAGCATTAGTAGAGTAAGGCAGTTCTGTTATTGCTGAAGTTATTTCATTAATAACTTAGACGAGACAAGAACCTTACATTATACTTAACATGAATTTGAGTTGGTTATAAAACAACCCTTCAAGATAACATTCTGAAGGCATTCCATGATACCCAAGTTTTTCCAAGTAAAATAACCTATAAGAAGCTTTTGAACAGGCTTACAGGCATGCATCCGACCTCCTGTATTCTATCAGCTTTCTTTGTAATTCCATTATTTCGGCTTCACTGGAAGAAAACAAACAACATACAGTAAGAGCAAACTGTTTCACAACTTATATTTGACAAAAGCAGGAAACAAAGCATTGTACAGAGCACAACACCTCCCAGAACACGTCACAGGAAGGCATCAACACCTTAAAACAGAGTTCCAAGAAGTCCCAATCTTTCCCAGCTTACAGACCCAATGTGCTACCCAAGTGTTCTATCTAACAATTTGCACTTAAAATCAAGCACCCATTTCGTATCTGTGCATCAAAGCCAAGTACATCTACTAGCACAACCTGCCAGAACTTACAGGAGGGAAACAGGCAGAAGTAACCACCAAAAGTATCTACAGTTGAGAAAATGCCATGTGCCACCTGTATCTGCTCAAAGCAACACAAGGCCTGGGGGGATGATCAGGATGCTCGAGGACAAACTCCATCCGCTTCCATAGCCAATCTACCTCAAAGAGCATCTATTGTGAGGAAGAGAGTAAAGCCGAGGCTAGTCAGTAATTACAAACAAGCACAGCTACAGGCCTGGCAGAGAAGAGATTCAGAGCAGCCCAAGGAGAAGGACTTGGGGGTGCTGGTCCATGAGAAAATGAACATGAGCCGGCTTCAGTGTGCGCTTGAGCCCAGAAAGCAACTGTATCCTGGGCTGCATCAAAAGGAGTGACCAGCAGGGCGAAGGAGGTGATCCTGCCCCTTTATTCTGCTCTCGTGAGACCTCACCTGGAGCATTGTGTGCAGTTCTGGTGTCCTCAACATAAAAAGGACATGGAACTGTTGGAACAAGTGCAGAGGAGGCCACGAGGATGATCAGGGACTGGAGCACCTCCTGTATGGAGACAGGATGAGAAAGTTGGGGCTGTTCAGCCTGGAGAAGAGAAGCTGCGTGGAGACCTCAGAGCAGCTTCCAGTGTCTGAAGGGGGGCTATAGGGATGCTGGGGAGGGACTCTTCATTAGGGACTGTAGTGACAGGACAAGGGATGATGGGTTCAAACTGAAACAGGGGAAGTTTAGACTGGATATAAGGAAGAAGTTCTTTCCTGTGAGGGTGCTGAGGCACTGGAATGGGCTGTCCAGGGAGGTTGTGAATGCTCCATCCCTGGCAGTGTTCAAGATCAGGTTGGACAGAGCCTTGGGTGCCATGGTTTAGAGCGAGGTGTCCTGCCCATGGCAGGGGGTTTGGAACTTGATGATCTTAAGGTCCCTTCCAACCCTAACTGTTCTATGATTCTATGAGCTACCACACTACGAGTGGTTTATGGGTTTTATTTTAATGTGGTTTTAATTTCATGTTTCTACATTAAAACAATCAATTGCTAAGACAGAATCTTCCAGAAGCTTCACATTACAAACCCTGCAGCAATCAAAGCAGTGCCCCAGGCTGCTAATTGAACATAAGATCTAATTCTTATTAGCCTAAGGACCTGCACACTCTGAGCCACACACATCCATCTCCTCCCGGCTGCCCGGCACAGAGGGAAGCAGGAGAAGAGACCCTGTCGGCTGCTTACTCCGAGATCAAGGCATCCATTTTAGCCATCTGATCCTGCCACTGGCTGAAACAAGATTAGGGTTTCGTGTCATGTATGCAATTTAAAAGCCACGCTTCATCTGGGATCTCATCCTCTCAATTTCCTTTTACATGACAGACAGCCAAGTAAAAGCAGATTTCAAGATCTTGGTTTTACACTTCTAGAAGTAATTTTCCTGACTCTGAAGAACACCGATATCCTGACGGACACAAAAGCCCATGGACATGAACAGCCATTGGCTCCAGTCCTGTTTCTCATTCTCCCATACCAGGGGTAGCACATCCCATCCTTCAGCTCCTGAAAGTTTCCTTTCTGCCAGCATGGGCTTTCAGTATCCCATCCACTAGGCTGTTACAGCTGTTTAGACAGCACATGAACATGCAAGCAAGGTCTTCTCAAGGCAAAGCAATACAAAACCAACACCAGATAAAAGCCTCTCAGCATCATCATTACGGATGCCTGGGATGGCGAGTGCACAGCTCATGCTGTTCTGCAGCACAGCTCTGCCCCAGCACTGCAGCACAGGCAACCAAGGCTTGGCTTGTGGATTTGCTTGGCAAGGTTCTGTGTGTCAGGGACTGAAGAGAAGCTTGAAGCAGAACAAGGATTGCTCCAGTCACTCTGCTGCACCGCCTCCTTTCTTACATGAGGAATCCCCAAAGCTCCCTGCCCCACTATGTCAGTTCTTCACACATTTGCACTAAAACCCCACAAACAGTTACTCATCAACCTTTTTCCTCAGATGAGCCCAAATAACACACCTCTGAAGGTTTTAAGGATCCAGGTGGCTCGTTTTCAAACAGCCCCGAATCTCCAGTCTACAGAGAAAGAGCATTAGGCTGGGATTTGAGAGAATTCACCCCCCTGCTCAGCCACAAGCTCTCTCTAATCTCTGGCATTCCACCAGGCATTGATCTGCAGCAATATTTGATCCCTCACCTCCCATTTACACCAGCAGGGTGAAGATGCCTCGGTATTTTCCAAGATACCAGGCCTTCGTCTCTTTGTGCTTCAGTCCTGCATCCCTAATGCAGGAATAACGGTACTCCTGTCATGATACCCTGTTGAGATAAGTGCACAGAAAATCGTGCAGCACTTGGGCACAATGCAATCCTCCCACAGCAGTAAGAAACGCTCTCTTCATGGATGTTTTTCTCCACCAATCTGACATTAAATCAACTGTTGAGCACCAAGCTGCATCCACCAGAGCCTGCTCAAGACACACTGGGCCCCTGGGTTAGAAGGGGCCTGTTTAACACCTTCATCTACATACAACTGACCCCAGCAGGTATGTCTGAAGCTAATAATCCTCCCTGGTTTACACCCTCCATCCAGGACCTCTCAGTATTTGTACAGTTTACAGCAAATCACCCTTAGCCTGAAGCATCTGGCCTCCCTGGCTGAAAAGCAAAGCTGATTGCAAAGTTAGTCACAGTGTTAAGTACAGCACTTAGCTACCTAATTCATTTACTCCATTACTCACACACTCAAACCCTGCCTTTCACCAGCAATCACCAAAGATTAAGTGCTGAGTAATCACAACACATTCAGGACTGTATAAAACACAGGGTAAACTGTCCACCCCATTTCCTTTATTATCTTTGACACCTCAAACCTAATCAGTTATCATTCTGCACACAACAGACACCCCTGATCTGCACAGAGACCTATGCATGCAGTAACTTTATATTTAGATTGGATAAAGGACCAGTATTAAGAAATAGAACTGACTAATGGAGTCTAATATGTGCAAAAACCCCACAGCTGTACCTTAAATCACACTTCAAGGCATCCCGTGCTATCAGAAGCTTGTACCAGGTGTCTAATTTCTCAAGCACTTCAAAACTGAGATAGTTAGTTCTTAAGAACTAAGAAGAAAAGAGATTTTAAGAAGAGACATATGAGAAGAGGTGGAAAAGCAATCCTCATGAGGACTGCCTTCAAGTTCACCAACAACCAAGCAGCAGCTTCCCCACCACGTTTGACCTCATGCTCAAGCACAACTGTGAACAGGAGCAGGATGCAGTCCGGAATGGGACAGCTACTGAATACTTCAGGTCTTGGAACAGGAGACGTGGAGTTAGATCAGTGCAGAACACCAAAGCTGAAGCGCTGCACTGATTTACTAAGGCTTTCCTGTTCCACACTTTAAAACCTTGTTTAGATAAAAGGTGTCACTTCTGGAGAGGCAAGTGCCTCTGCAGCACCATCCCAGAGGTGACAGTGGCATACAGCTGGGGTCTGGCATCAAAGGACTCCTGCTTGCCAGCACCACCAAGTACAAATAACTCCCAAATCTTTCAGTGCAACTGAACTGGGCAGAGGAGCTGATATCTGAAGTGTGCTACGTGCCCAGAGAGGGATGGGCCATTTGTGCAGTGCCAGCTCAGCCCTAGCTCAGACAACAGAGAAGCTACAAAAGAGGTGACCAAACCTCACGCAAACCAAGCTCTCAGGAGCACAAGACACCTCTCCCCCTAACACGAGTGATATCTGCACACAAAGACACAGCTTAAAGCAGCTCGTGATCTAAAACACGCAGATTTTAACCTCCCCTCTCCACTTTCTAATGCCACAATTTAGATAAAGTGTCTTCCCTATCAAGGGACACACCTTTCCATGCAATTCCTAGACAATAAAGGCTGTTCAGCCTCGAGAAGAGAAGGTGTGGAGATCTCATAGCAGCCTTCCAGCATCTGAAGGGGGCTATAGGGATGCTGGGGAGGGACTCTTCATTAGGGACTGTAGTGATAGGACAAGGGGTAATGGGTTCAGACTGAAACAGGGGTAGTTCAGATTGGATCTAAGGAGGAAATTCTTTACTGTGAGGGTGCTGAGGCACTGGAATGGGTTGCCCAGGGAGGTTGTGAATGCTCCATCCCTGGCAGTGTTCAAGGCCAGGCTGGACAAGGCCTTGGGTGAGATGGTTTAGTGCGAGGTGTCCCTGCCCATGGCAGGGGGTTGGAACTGGATGATCTTAAGGTCCTTTCCAATATAAACTATTCTATGATTCTATAACAAAACACACTTTGGATAGCCTTACTCTGTCTTTTAAACAGCAAGTTATACCAGTTTGCCTGTGGTGTTCCAGACCAGAACAGGGTACCAGTGAAGACAAATACAGCAGCTTGGCAGAAGCACTGATCTACACACACGGCTCTCTTCTTGTGGCCACAGCACTGTTATTTCTGCTAACACTGTGCACCTGAGACCCAGAAACCAAAGTGTTCTGTGCTGGACAGAAAACCAGCACTGCTTAAACAACCAGCTCCCTATCAGCAGTGATCTTGAGAGGCTTCCCTGGGCAGGCACAAAGTGCTGACCGACCCCAACTACTGTGGTTACTACAGCAAGTAACAGGCCAGGAGCATCACTAATGGTGTGCTGCTCCTGAGGAGCCACTGGTGACTGAGATCCCCCAGGCCATGGCCACATTGCACACACTGACTTCTTCCCTGAAGCCACATCCCCCAAAGCACCCATAAATAGAAACACCCAAAAT